TCAAGGCATCTATGTGGTGAAACAAGTATCTGTGCATCAGACATAAAGACATAAAAACATGACCTTGACCCTTTCAATAAGTGGCAATGTGGCTGTGGAGATCTTTGAGAACTTCCTGTGTGATCCAACAGATGCTTGAAACTTTTGTGATTCCATTATCATCAGTACAATTGTTGCAAACATGTGTTTGATTTGAATGTTCAAGGCTTTGCATATATATGACATTGATCAGACTTTTGAAATTCCAGTCACCCAAATTCTTGACCTATATACTCGGTGACCTGTGAAAAATGGTGTTTGAATAGAGATTCCAGAAAGTAAAAGTTTTTTTTTTTTATAAAGTGCATAAACTGACACATGGCTTCAAAACTTTATAAAGTGTACATCATCTGGAAAACTACAACAGAATAATTCAGCTGCATTTTTCTTGGTTAATACTATCAGATTTAGATATCCTGTTTGGTAAACAGTAAGACTTAAAAGGAATGACACTTTTGAACTTTATGCATGGAGTGAATGACATGTAGATAAAAAAGCCATAAAAACAGGAGATAAGTGGGGTGGGTCGTCAATTTTTTTTCAGGTTATTGTTTTGTATAGATAATTATTTCCATGTTCTTATGAAAGTGTTTTGGTTTTATGTACAGGGAATGTGTCTGTAGCTTCGTGAACTTCTTGACATTATCAGAATAAAACCAGGTCTGAACCATGGTGCTTTTGTTTCAAAGTCTCTCACGGGCACATGGTTCTGATGGTTAATTGGTGACAATGAAGGGTGTGGAACCACCCTTGAAGAAAATACTAAAGCATTTGAAAGGGTATAGAGGTGAAGTTGTAGGGGAGGTCACAATGGAGATGTCTGATGCCAAGTAGTGTCATGTCTAAGGGTCATTGTTTTTGGGTAATCAGATTGGATAATTGCTAGGTCTCATCTGGCAGAACTAGTGACCCAGTTCTCTAAAAGGTTGCTGTCATAACCAACATGCAAAGGTATTTAAGAGAGCAGCTGTAAGCTTCTGCTTTTCAATTACAGTAGGATTACTGGATATGAGATTTAAAAAATTAAAGATTTGTGGTTAATGATTGGATTATTTTAATTTTTTCTTTCCTAAAAGTCATATGGTTGCATGTAGACATGTGGTGTTCAGGATGTGTGGTACTGTGGAGATAAGATCTTGGTTTGTGTCTTGGTGACTTAGCAGTAGAGTACCCTACTCCGATATTGATAGGGTGCTCTTGGAATCTGTCATAAACACATAAAGATGATAATCTATAATCTCTACTGTTGTCACAAGCCTTGTCACTGATCAATCTCTGATGATGTCAGGATTTATTTGGGACCTTGGTCTGTTTGCATTAATTTTGCTGCTCTGTGGTCTGAGTTGGGTATTTTATTGAATTCATAAATGCAGGGTTATATTAAGGTGTTGATTTTTTTTTTTTAAAGTTATTGATTAATTAAAGAAAAAATTATTTTTCATTTTGTGTACATTATTTAGAAAAAGACAATTAGAATTTTGGGAATAAAAGAATCCTTCAAAATGTAAACATTTTCTTAGAAATCGAAAGTTTGTCTTATGCAAGCATTTCCACTTTGGTAAAAGTTCCAACACAGAAGTACAGAATTAGTGTGAAGTTTGATTGATTATGAGAAATAAAAAATTTAGAGATTTAAATACAAATCAAAATTGTTTGGAAATGAGGAAGTGGTCGTCTACTGAGCGCAGGGTACAGTGTAGGTGTTTTTTGCTGATCAAGAGTTTCCTCACATTTGTTTGTGTTGAATAAGCAAAACTGCGCTGTAGTAGAATATTGTAAAGGTTTATCGGTTTGTGGTTTGGCTTATGGCCAGCATACATACTAACAGCTGATTGTAGCCAGTTAGAGCCTTTAAATTTCTCCTCTTAGAAAAAGATCTTTTAATAATCATGGCTAACTATAAAAAAATATCTTCGTATGTAGGATTTGGTAAGAGATGTTGCCAATGGGTTATTAATTGAATATATAACTTCCAATTTATGGATGTCTGGCTTTTTATTCTCTTGAATTGAATTTGGAGAAATGTATAATAATGAATGCTAGTGCATATACAACCCATGCTTGAATCAAAAAATGCTTGTTACGTAATTGTTTCCTTGCTGAAACTGTCTTCATTATATAAAATCAATAGACTTGATTTTTAATTGACAGCAAAAGATATATTAATTAAAGTTGAAATTAGAAGTATAACTTCTTGATTTTCAAGTAAATTTTACATAATGACTTTTATAATAAGAATTCAAAGCTATGAACATTTTTAGAAAGTATTGAAGTTATGAATAATTTTCAATTTTTAATTACCACAAAGAGGAAATGATTTCACTGTGAAGTTTGTATATAGAGGCATGGATAATCAGAGACATGTGCACCTTAAGGGAGGGGAAAGAAAATCCCTTAGTATAATGTAGTGAACAATGGTAACATGATCCCAATAGACTTAAGGTCAACAAGTTTTGTATAGTGAGTTCAGGTGTTGCCCAGTTGATATCCAGGTGAAAAGAAAAGTTTAGATCTAGGAGAAATCTTTCTGGACATTTTATTGATAGGTTTTATTGTTATGGTATTCTATGTTCTGTGCTTACACAAAAAATGCACATGTATTTATCAGTTTTGTCATGTCAAACAAATCATGATGACATGGTCTATGAAATGATACCCAGAAGAAAAGGTCAAACTGTACAGTTTAGTTACTGGGAGCTAGCTGGTTCCCTTTCATTGAAATGCATTGTATTTATTTGATACATATTGTCATATTGTGACATAATCAAATTAATGCTCCAGTATCCAATTGCAATATTTCTCATGCTCCCAAAATTATCTTTAAAAATTGAAGTGATATTATCAGTTAAAGTAAATGTTATTAAATTGATCCAGTGAGTGATAAAACTTTTCTCCCATGTTTGTTGATATAAGCAGGGAGCATACAATTAAAGGCATGCTACTTCAGACAAAATGGGACTTTAATAGGCACTCTTATCACCATCCTAGACACTAAACTGTTATCTTCACAATCTGCTGTAATTGACCCTTAGGTACCTTACTGATAAAACATAAAACAATTGCATCTCTCTTATCAAGCCTCAATTGACACTACAACTAAATCCGAAGGGTTTAGTTGCAACTATAAAATCAGATCAAAAGATTCGGCTGCAGTATAGAAGATACTTGGGGTGTGTTCCCATTTCCCATGCAGACCAAATGCTACTCGCATGCAACATTGCACTTTTACAATTTGCTGATTTTTAAGAAACAAAAAGTATGTCATTGAATGCCAAGGAATCTTGGTTTCATTGATTGGAAAAGAAGAAAAACATTGATGTTGCACATGCACCTTGTGTCTGGCTTACTGAATCAGTCTGGAAGTATGGACTGTTGATCATCAAGAAATTTAAAATTGTTATTATAAAGAGAAGTTAAAGCTTGATGAGTCTAAAAATATGAAGATTATTTAGGTATTGTCTTGTTTTGCTAACAGGCACTGGCCCAATTACTTTGAAATGTAATCAATTTACTTAGCATTTAGTTTGCCTAATGATTAAAAATCATCACTTGTTAAAATGCAGTGACTTGTTGAATGCACATGTCAGTTGAAGAAGAGATTTTAGAATGCTAGCTCTGTTTGGCTTTGGCTTGGCTGCCATTTACTTCAGGGATATCTCTATATTCCTCTTCCAATCCAATTACATTTTGATGCATCAAGTTGTTCAAATCACCAGGAAACAATATCTCATTGCTATAATGCATTGGCAGACAAACCTTTGACAGAAGAACTACGTTCTCCAGATAAAGTGGAGATAGTAAGGTGCTAAATTGCTTGTAAGCTCAAACGCGTCTGTAGAAAAGAAGTTTGGTGAGGCATGTTTAGAAAATGTTTATTCATTCTTGTTTGGACATAGGTGACAGTTTCACATTTCCTTTGTAATATGAGCTATTTACCCCTTATCAACAAAAATGCCTTGATTGCTGAAGATAATAAAAAATATCTGATTTTATTTTTTATGAAATAAAATTTTATCCATTAATCAAAGGCCTCTTTTAAGAACAGAGTTTAAATATTGGATGGTAAAAGGTGATACCAAGACTGTGGACTTAAAATTGAATCGTTTGAAGTGCCCAACAACTGCCCTGTTTTAAAGAGGCAGAAGATTTATTACGGTGAATGAATATGAAAATTGAAAAAAATTGAAAACTTAGTTTTGGTCAAGATTATATTAAGTTTGCCACCAACATGCACATGCATTGCCAAAGTTTGAGAAAAATTATCCTTGGTTGACCAAGACGGAATAAAATTCTAGGGGAAATTTTCAAAAATTGATTTTAAAAAGTTACTTTATGTGTTGAGTTTTCATATTTTTTTTTCACTTTTAACACAACTTGTCATAACTTATAACCACCCATCCAGAATCTACCACTTAGCACTCATTGTACTAAGAAAGACATAATGAGTATTGTGTTTCAAAATTTTTTTTTTTTGGTATTTCATGGAAGAAAACGATATTTCATAGCTTGTCTCCAACAACCATTACAAGTAAAGCAACACCTGGCAAGTTTCAATGAGGGCTTCTCTGCATTGAATTGCCTCGTATTCCTTGGTTGGCCAACTTATCACAAGAAAAGAAGTGAAAGGATATATAGAATATGTGACCTGCTTATTATTGACCTACTTATTTTCTGTCAATGAATCATTGAAGTCTAATATATAAATATGTTTGTATTACATTCCTTTTAAATTTGTATTTAAAGAACATTTTCTGCTTCAGCTGATTTTTTATACTCATTGTATGAAAGGGTGCAATGTGTGAAAGCTCAAAAAGGAGCATAGAACTTCAGTACTATTTTAGCCATCTGCATTTCTTTCTTGCATTCAAAAAGCAAACTCTCATTAAAATGAGTAGATTGTATTGTAGACAAGTGCAAATTATTAAAATGTAAAATTGTATTATTTTTCTTTTATTTTTCAGAAAATTATAAGCACACTAGAAGGAAAGATGAAGGTGAAGTTAGGTCTAAAAATACAGTAGCAAAGAATTCTTCATTTAATTCCGAAAGTGCAAAAACTGTTGTAAATAATTCATCTGTAAAGGAATCATCGAAATCGTCATTATCCCAGTCATCATCAAAATCATTGCCCTTTCGTCATCATCTCCTAAAGCGTTCAACTTCATATAAACGCAATGTGGAAGTTATGGTTGCTGCCGATAACAAGATGTTACAATACCACGGAAACGACCTTGAAAGATACATCTTAACCTTGATGGCAATAGTAAGTAATAAAATACAATCTGAAGAATCTTCTTCCTGTGTATCAAACATCTTCTCCTCATTATTAGGAGCAAGAGATTCAATTAACAGAGCTTTTGAACTGTAATTTATCGAGAATTAAACTGATGTAATATTGCTTTGTTGGTGTAGTTAAGAAATGATGTATGTGAATAAAGTAACCACCATCAGACTGCATTAGTTACACTAAGAGGTGCAAATTGCTTTGAGTGTTTTGATGCTATTAAACAGTTATCATGCTGAACTGGTTGTAAAAATGCACTGAAATGCAGGACTGTTTCCTGAAGAGCAAAATCTGCAGTGCTTTGTTGCAAAAACCCCTAGGAAATCATGTAGAAGGGAACTAGACAAAACACCTGGCAACTTGTAGTCTATCATAATCAGGCTGCTAATTTTTGGACCTCACAGAAAAGTAATTAATAGCACAATGTTAAACTTAGGTCATGCCTGAAAAAATTAATATAATGTCACCCCTTCCAGAAAACATGAGGGAAGATGGGTGGGTAAGTAAAGAGATAACTTAAGAGGGTGTGACCCCTTTTGAGATTGCATCTATTGGCATGGTCACCCCAAATGTGAACCAAGATTATGCTGAATTTCATGCCCATGCATATTTTTTTTCTGAATACATTTTATTGCTTTCCTGATCCAGAGCTAACACATTTGTGCTCTTGAAATTTGTTACTGTTCTTGACATTTTTCATCAATATCACACCTAGCTTTTAATTATAAAAGAGCTTTATTATGCAATGGAATGAAAAATGTAGGGAAGAAAATTTGTTAGCAATAATTAAAAGATAATTTGTCTAATGTTCTGCTACATGAATTACATGCATTTGGGCAAAGTATGGGTGGATTGGAATGCACAAAGATGTGTTGGGGGTTACAGACCGGTGCATAGACATGACAAAATCGGGACGAATTACCGTAGGAATAGCATGAGTTGACAATACAAGGTCAAAAGCCAAGGGAAATAAATTATTTTTACATGTCCTGAAGAAAAGTTAGAGCATAGAGAGGTCTTAACACTTTCAGATGTGGTGGATCAAAGCACGTACATATATAAATTAGAATGCTTTAATTCTTATTTCAATTTACTGCTTTATTCTACAGGTCGCAAGCATATACAAAGATTCATCAGTTGGCAATTATATCAACATAGTGGTGGTGAAAATAGCTGTGTTTAGATCAGAACAAGTAAGTTTTGTGAGAACAGTGGTCAGATATACCCAAGTATTAAAGTATTATTATTCAATGTCTGTGTCTTGACCTATTATACAAGGAGAGGGTGTGCATAGGCTTTGCCTGTTGCCCAATCCTTATTGAATTACTCAATAAAATATGCTTAAAATAAAGTATATACCCAAAGATACACAGTCTTAATCCACTAATGACTGTGTACAGTCAAACCTCTGTATCTCAAACTCAAGGGGACCAAGATAAAACTTATCCAAATCCGATACCGTTTGTGAATTTTTTTTTTGTGAATACCAAGTCTGTTTTTACTGAATTTGAAATACTTAGGATAAAGTACTTAAAGAAAAAGTGCTTTGACATATCCATGGGATTCGAGATATTGATGTTTGAAAGTTCAACTGTATAATTATGATTGCACTGCCACAGAAGAAAGATGCGTTTTATTCTAAGGTGTAGTGCTTATGATTTTAAATCTTTGTGCTTTATGGCATATAACAGATTATGCAAATATTGCCACCCATAGAAACTGTCTGTTTTAGATTAGGTTATAGGAAGAGGGGCTAAAAAAGATTATTTCTAGAAATACATCTTGATTATCTTGCTCTGATCAGAATCTATTCAGAGTTTACTAGGTCATTAGGTTGAGGCAGGTTTGTGGCTAGGAGTAATATTTAACTATTTGCACTACTCAAGACTCAGGAATTTTTTTTTCAATGTCTTCAGAGGAAAAGAACTTGTTATAGGGGCTTATTATGTGTTTTTCTATTCATGATATCAACCTTCACCATGCTTTTTCTATACTAGCTTGATCTTCAATTCTTTGTTAGATTCCATTTGCCAACCTTACTTTCCTCTTTTGTATTTTTTCCTTTTTTTTAATTATAACCAAAAGAAAACCTGCAGATTTTTTTCCTGTACCCTTGTTAGGTGTAATGAGTGCCTAAAGTGAGTTGTAATGTTTGGGTGGTATACCTTAAACTGTTGACCGCCTTGTCCTCTGTATAGATAAGTCGGACTAAGCTCATCCTTCAGGACAGGCTTAGGAAAAAGAACATGGTTAGCTATTTAAGCAGTAAGTGATTTGCTCTTGCACAGCGTGTGAAAAATCTTTAACCATGTCTCAGTGATCCCAACTGTCACAGAAACGCAGTGATCTCTTTGTCATTTATTTAGTGGTTTAAGTTTTGAGTGGATTTGGGTTTAAACATACAAAACAGTTTTGTGGTTGTTTTGTAAAAAGCAGTGCCATGACACTGGGATACAGCAATTTTTTTCCACTGAACTATTTCTAATGTATTTTGTTTTGGAACAACCAAATCCTTTTGCTTATTCCATTCACTAAAAAAAATTGACCTTAAAACACCCCCCAAGCATAGGAAATGCTTCCACACATTAGCAGGATGGTCTGATAGTCTATTCATAAATTGCAAGTGTCCAGAATAAGCTGATGGGTCTATTTTTGTTTGGGGCAGTTTTATGGTTTCTTCTGAAAAAAAAAAAAGAATGATCTGTGTAATTATTTTGGTTGAGGGGTTTCTCACAAGTCTTTGATCACAATGGGTGCAATATAAACAGTAAATATTTCAGGGATTATCCACATGTAGCAATAGAAATGCTGATCTTTTGTTGGCCCATTAATTCATTAAAGACAATACAAAGGTTATATGTGACCTATATTTTGAATTATTGAGGTCTGCAATATCAATAGAAAAAAAATGTAAGGCTATGAAACTGCTACCCTTAATTTAAATGGACACTGATGAAATTGATATTTTTTGTTAAGAGAAAAAAAATAATTTGCTGACAAAGTCGGAAATGCAGTTTTGAAGCAAGTTTTTGATACTTCAAAAGCTATTTATAATAGATTTACGTTTGATGTCATTCAGGAATTTGTATTATGTTGATATGTAGTATAAAAAAGAATGGTTTTACCTCTTCAACACCTGTTAGAATAAGAAAACTCATATATATGCAATCCCCAATAATCATGGCATACATGTTTAACTGTATTTGACATATTATGATATGTCTGTCACCAGGGACTCTGAATAATTTCTTGCTTATTTTCGTCTCACAGACACCTTGAAGTTAAGAAACTTAATCAACAGTGTTAGTAATCATGCAATCTGTGCAGTGCCTTTGCAGGAGATCAGAGAGTGTATAAAAGACACCTGAGATTATGAATCATACTGATCACAGGGAGTTCTGACATAGTTATAGAAAAACCAAGGATATGTTGTAATTTTATTGTTCTTGTTTTAATCCCTATGTACAATTGATTTTAGGGAGTTTTTTTGTGTGGTACACCTGTCTACAGACATAGACCAACTTGAACAGTCTTCTGTTGCAAAGAATGCAAAACTATAAGCTTTGAGGATTAATATCTTCAGATCATTGTAAATCAAAGCATTTTTGGAGGGACACCTGAAATTTCTCTCTCAAATATTGCCACCATGCGTCTTGGATCAGGGATCAGAGTGTTTATTACAAAAAGTGGAAAGGGAAATGTGTAACCTGGAAAACGTAAACCCTTTCTGAAAGTGAGAACCTCACATCTGGAGAATTTTACGACAAAATTGACGTGACTGTTGCCCTCATTTGTCATCTTATTCAAACTTATAAAAAATTGTCTATACAAACTTTCAACAGGTGTCACTGATAGGGTAGGAATACACTAGTCCTTGATGGTTGATGCTGAGATATTAGCCCCCAGAGTGTTACCTTTATGTGCTTAATTTACCTGTCTCTACCTGCAAAGAGGATCAAGTAGAGGTTTTTTTACTCCTATTTAGCAGTATAGGGTATCAGCTTCTATCTGTTTAGGGGTAAAGAGTGTGTACCAAATTTGTGATCGTTGTCATGTAGGCCTCTGAGGTGATGTCATTTCTAGCTGTGATTGACAGGTCTTGTGTGAGGCATCTTGTCTTTTAAGGTCCTGTTGAATGGTGCAGAAAATATCAGGTTTCCTAGGTAATTTGATCTTTTGTGACATATCACAGGTTATACTAGACTCAAGTTAATTTATCTAGGTTGGTGGCTCTCCTGCATTATAAAAAAAATTGGTGTACTTTTGCTGTACGAAAATTTGATGTATTCCAACCTTCAATCTGAATTGAATTTATAAACTTACAAAATAATCATTATCTTTTAATTGGATTATTCTAAAGTAAAGTTTAGGATACAAACTGTTTAGGTGTAGAGATGACTTGCTACTGTTGAGCTGCTTAGATTGATGAGGATAATGTGTTATCTGTGATTACACATAAGTTTTTGTTTGTTTTATTCCTCTCAGTCAGTATCAATTTGTCTTCCACTTGATTACTAGATGGATGCTGAATAGTTTTATGTGCTGTTAGAAGTGTGAATCCGTGTTTTATCAGAAACTCTTACTTAATTGCTCTGTGTTAACTGTTTTTCAAGAGTCAAAAGAATCTTTGGTGGTTTTTCAGATTTTTAACTTGCAAGAGGTATATATGTCAGTAAAACACAGTGCAATAGAAAATGGAGAGAAGTTTTTATTTTGTTTTTTTCCAAGTTCATGGTAAAATATTTGTACAATCAAAGTTATGCATATATGCTACTGTAACTCAGTGGTGATGACTAAACACAAATGAATCATGCTGTGAGCAAACTAGAGGTACAGGTAGCCTGTGATATATGCCACTCAAGCAAAAATGAAACATAGATGTGTGAGGCTATAGAGATTCTTATAATTACTTCAAAACAAGTTGTAAATGGTGCTTAAACATGCTAATGCAACTGGAGATGTAACCCCCAGCACATGGTACCGACCCCCTCCAGAAAAAGATAGCATCACAAGCAGGGTCAATACTGAGTGTCAATGTTTTGATGTAACACTCATTTTATTTCATAATCCTACAATGCCCTTTATATCTTTTATTCATCCTTTCCAGTTTTACAGGTAAAAAACCTCTCAGTGTGTATTTTCTTATTGAAGAATTGAATTTCATATTCAGTTTGCTTGAGGTTGAAATTGGAGACCAATTAAAATGGCTCCAAACAAAAGAATTTTGTCCACACTGATTTTTGAGAGTGATAAGAATGTTTGATATTGGATGCATTAATAAATTGGAGGCCACTTATCTCCAGTATAAACACTGACAATGCAAATCACTCCATAGGTTTACCAAGGGAAAAGGCAAGGATAGGATAAAGATGAAAGACGTAAAATTTTGGGGGGTGTAATTTATTGGGGTGAAAATCCGATGGAATATTAAGAATCCTGTGATGAAATCTTGTAACCCTTGGTATTGTTTTCTCAATGAGTTGATACAAACAGGTCAGAAGTCAGCGTTGTGTGTAGAATCTTTAGGTTATTGGCCGACTGAAGAAAACACAGGATCAAGAGTAGATGCTTTGATTTTGTTTTGTTTTTTAATTTTTCAGTTTTCTAACAGTGATTATTAGTTATAAAGTGTATCTGAATTCAGTTTAGAAAGAAATGTCAGGTTTTCATTGTATAGATCTGTACATGTATTAAAGTAAAATAATGTTTAAAAATTTGAATTATACGATGTATGATAAAAGTATTCTAATTACTGGTAATTTAAAAGTGGTACTGGTGTTAAGTGTCGTTCTCTTTTTGTCTTAAGCCTGGATTTATAACCATATGGAAAGGTGCAGAGAAGTCAAGCTAAGGTGAACATATGCCATACAAGGACTTCAAACTCTAGAGTCCTTTTCAACACCCAAGATTAATAAAAAGACAGCCTGCCTATGTATGAATCCAATCTAAGACTAAATTAAGACTCTTTTGTTTAAATTGGATATTAAGTACTTGTTATTAGATTCTTTAGATTTTTATGGCATTAGGGGGTGATAAAGGCTCTTGTCCGTTATTAAGTTTCCTAATACTCCGTGTTTGAGGTCCATTTATATGAGGAGAATTGAATCAATAATCGATTAACCCCCTCAATCCCATGTCAAGAGGACCCACTTGAGCTCATCCATATTTTGTCACCTTTCAATGTTGACCCACCACTTTCAAATTCCTAAGTTATTTTTATTTGGCTTTCACTTTCTGCTGAAATGAGGACTGGTAATTTTTGTTGATGATTTTGGGTTCAGGGAAAAATCCTTGCAAACTGAATTTCTTTAGGGTTGATTAAAAGAATAATATCACTGAATTTCGGGAGAGGTTAATTTAGGCAATTTCCAGGTATCCAGGTATGAAAAAAGCAGTTCCAACAGTAAAATGGATGCAGGATCAAATCATGGGGAAGTCCATATGTCAAGGTCATCGGGATTACTCTATCCAATCCAGACTAGTTAATGAAACTTTTGTTGGACTTGGTACTCTGTCAAGGTCATTGGATTACTGTATCCAATCCAGACTAGTGTTGTTAAATAAATGAAACTTTTGTTGGACTTGGTGCTCTGTGCTTTAGGTCTTCAGCAAAACTTGACAAGAGTGGATGCAGATTAAGTTTGACCCGAAAAAAGATTAATATTTTCATTCAGTACTGTGTGGTACCAGGCACAATCTCTACCTTATTATATACCCAGGTATTCATAATGATGTGGTTTTCACCCCCTTTAGGACAAGCATTGTTGCAACCAGCCTTAATCCCCCAAAGTTTGTTTGGATGATTTTTTTTTCATTTATTCTCTGCAAGGATATAGTTTTGTTTAACACATGTAAATGTTTTCCTTGATTAGCTTCAGTGTCCACTATGTTCTTGGTCATGCATTTGTCAAGGCTATTTTTCATAGGCATCAGAATGGTCTTTTTGTCATTATTTAGGTGCATAGTTAGTGTGGAAGACACATGTATGCCTCACTTAATGATAATTGGCTAATGCACTGGCTTCCCTTTCTCATGTGAAAACAACAACAATTTTGTTTGCTGTGTTTTTTTTTTTCATCCAAAGTATGAGTAAACATGCATTGTGTGCCAAACACTGTGAGTATATGACTTCCTCAGAAACCACAGCATGGCAGGCATTTCAGGCTCCTCCCCCTGTTAATGTTTGACTCTTTGACTCTCTGTTCACAGCAACCACAAGTTGAGATCACTATCTTGGTTAAGATTTTTCAGGGTTATATCATCTTTTTCATGTGGACAAATTGACATTGATGATATTTTCCAGTTTCAAGAGTTCAATTTACCATTAAAAAGTGACAGTTTAAATGAAGTCAATCCTAAAATTCTGTCATTGGTGATGACTTTTTTGTGTATAGTTTATTATCTGATCAATCAAATTTATTAAAGCTATTTTGAATATATATATAAAATTTATGGACCACACATATACTTTGATATTGAATTGGGTTACAGAAGTACAATATTTATTGAGTAAAAAAGTATAAAATTACATGGTTTTTGATCAAACAGAATAAGTACTGAATAAGTACAAGGTCATTCAATTAAAAGATATTTTTGAAATATGATTCTGGTACAAAGGTAATTAAACAGGAAAATAGGATATCTATACATCTTTTAATATCACAATTACTTATCATTTAGCAATCAAAATTTAATTTTTAGCACTATTTATCTTGTTTATCTGGTTGAAAACAGCTGTTGAAAATTATTTTATGTGTCTCACATTTTTTTTATCCAGGATGGGCCTCGAGTAACCTCAAATGCTGCAGCCTCACTCAAAGACTTCTGCACCTGGCAATACGTGAACAATCCGTCAGACGACAGTGACCCGGACCATTATGATACAGCTGTTCTTATTACAAGGTAGGGGTAAAAGCAGGAAAAATGTTAACCAGTACTAATACACACAGATCGAGGTCCTGATGTCCTATATTACATGCCCTACTGAAATCCAGAGAATGACCTCTTTAAGTTGAAAACATGATTATATACTCAATGTCTGTCTGAAATTATATTTCTTCATATCTTTTCTCATACAGTAAAACATGTTAGACCAAAGATGATTATACTTGATGCCTGCTTATGATGATGTCTTGTTTCGTCACCAAGCAGCATAATGTAATAAAGTGTTAACAAGATTCAATATTTCTGATATTACAAAATGATCGGGGCTTTTCTTTTTGTTCTTTATAATCATGCTTTACTGCATTGTATGACATCTTTTCAAACATGCATCAAATCATGACAAGATTTTCAGCTATTCCTATTTATTATGATATAGGAAAATACAAAACAGTAGCTAATGTCCTATCAGCAAAAGGAGCAAATTATGTGCCAAACTGGAAGAGACATCTTGTGTTTTGCAGTAGAGGATAAAAATTTTAATATAATCCATACACAATGCTGAAGTGCTGAAAAATCATCTAATTTATGAAGAGAAACAAGAAAGTAAATTGACCTAAAGCTGTAAATGAAAGGATGATTTTTTCCCCTATTATCTACTCTCTTTCACCTGTTTGTTTGTGTAAGATCTGCTCTTTCTTCTCTCAAGTACAGAATCCACAAGTATTAGTATAAGAAGTTATGAAAGAAAATACATGAATTCTCATTGTATGTACAGTAAATATCAGCCCAAATGAGTTTATCTCTCTGAACTTCAAACCATGTCAAATTAAGATTCCCCATTGAAAAATGCAGACGTTAATCTCTTTAACAGATAGATAAGAATCTACAGGGATTTGGCTATCTGTATTTTTTTAATTACATGTAGAATGGGATCAGAGCATTAGTTCTTTGAGCTGGTTTTCTACAAACTTCATCAAAGAAAGCAAAAAATTATTTGGGGTTAAATCTGAAGAGTTCAGAAAACTGGCTTTTTCTGCACCAAAATCAGACAGGGATTAAGACATCTTTAAAATCTTTCGTCACAAAAGTCAAAATTGGAGCAGTTTTTTGTTTAGAAACCTGTTCTTAATTTTGAGAAATCAATTTAAATAATTTTAACTGATTCTTGTCCTGGACATTTGAAATTCCTTCCCCCTGAAGCATTCATCTGACAGTTGGCCTGTGAGGATTTCTCTGATTCCTCCAGAAAGTGTTTCAGAAGATCACCTTGGGATTCCTCAATTACAGGTTTTTGTCTGCCAAATGATTTGTACTGGTTTTTTGGGAGACAGAGAGAAAAATTTTCTGCCCTTGGAGAGTTCATTTGAGTGTACTATAAAGTACAAATACCATTATCTTTCTCCAGTTTCTGCAGAAAATGAGTTGTTCTCAAAATAAGAAATGAGGCAAGTTTTAGGAGAAATTCAGTTTGTACAATGTTTAGGATTGCAGGTTGTAATGTATTTGGGGCAGTGTTCTTCACTTGAAGCTCTTTTTGCTCTTCAAAGTGTTGCACCTCGATGGAGTGTTCTTAGTGCGTCTGAGCTGATGAAAATGGAATGCTTCTTCCTGATACTGCAAAACATAAATATGATGTGTTCATACTATATCATATCTAGGCCAATAACTTGCACTCCTTCACTTATTGTAAAATGGCAGATAATGGACTTTTAATTCATTAATCTATATGTTGTGCAATCATTTCATCACATTATTATACTGCTATAAGTGTAAGAGGGTTCAATTTCAATATAGAAATGAAGAGGTATATTTGGATACCAATTAATTGAAGAAATTAAAAAATGTGATAAAGTGCCATGCAGGTTCAACACTAATCTCTGTGTAACAAGGGGATAAGATTATTTCGTACACTTCCATTAGGTCTTAGCCTTTTTTTGTTACTGGCAAACTCTTGCTGTCTTATAGCATAATGAAAAAAATAAGTAGAAGTTTTCTTTTTCATAAATTTTGGTTTCAAATTCCTTAAAACAAGTTGCATCAGTGATTATGTTATTTTCCTGTGTAAGATGTTTAAGTAGGTGTTCTTTTCAGGGAGAGAGTTTACAACATAGGCTGCTTGTTTCTCATGGCTGTTCCTGTATATGTATATTTAATTTATTGGTTGTATAAGCAATCTATAACAGATCTACATGGTCAGATGCCTCTGTTAGAAGCTCAACAGGATGTTCTGTTAAACAGAGGAGGAAGTCAGTTTTCATAAATTAACCTCTAAAACAATGCTGCTTCTAGGGTTTTTATGACATGGATAGATCTTTGTTGTCTTGAGGAACAGGTGGCTATGGGTGTAGATATAGCCAGAGATAGTGAGCACTATTGCCAAAGGGCAGAAGAAAGGGAGATCTGAAAGTAAAACAACATTTCAGAACAGGCTCATCTTTAACAGATTTTATTCTGTTTGAGTTTTTTGGTGCTCTGATCAGATTTGAGAACTGTTTAATATTTGGATGAAATGTATGGAGATAACAAACAGCATTCAAGCTCAAAAGTCCATTAAACAATACAAATTTTGGAGCAGAGCAACACAGACCTCTAAAACATTAGAGGTGGGATCAGGTGATATGGAGGACAGGGCTCGACATTAACTTTATTTCCTACTTGTCCATTCGGACAAGTGACCAAGATTTTAACTTGTCCGAACTTCAACTTTACTTGTCCGAAAAATTTTCAATAAAGATCTAATACTGTCAACTTGAAAACTTAAATGAATTCCATTGCATGTGCTTGATTGCAGGGATCGACATTAACGGTTGTCCGATTGCCCGGGACAAGTAAATTCTCAGTTCGGGCAAGTGAGTCTTACGACGTACCTGTCCGATCGGGCAAGCGATTTTTTCTCAAAGAAATGTACATATTTATTTAGTTTACATTAATTTATATAAAAGAAAACAATAAATTGAAGATTTGATATCCGCCAGGTAACTGACTGATTGATATTGTTTTTGAATTCGGAATTCCTTGTCGCAATTTCTGGATTATACCTTTCATTTGAAAGTCGGGTTCGTTATTCCGTTTTTTTTCTCCTGGAAAATGTGCTATTCGTCTAACATCTAAAATGTTAACTTATTTGGAAATTAGATAATTTATTCACTTACAGAATATAAGTAAAGTGTAACACGATGTATCCTGATCAAAGTAAAGAACGATGTATGTTACGTAGCAACTATCTTCCTTCAGCGTTGTTTCACAGTTATCTCAGAAAATCACGATTCAAAAAAGAATCCTACCGAAAATAATTTTTAAAAATATGAATTTTATTAATACGGAGGGTTATTGCTATATGGCAGTGTGTGTTAACATTAAATTTACAAGGACAGTGGTATACATTTATGTACAAACGCAGCATCGAAATTTTTTCAGGTACCTCACCTTGTCAAATTGACAATAGTGTATTTGGTTACATTTTTTCTTGTCATAACATTTACAGTAATAAAAAAAAATCTTCTGAAGTTCTGTCCATATTTGGGCAACAAAGTTTTGCATTCGGACAAGTCAGATTTTGAGATCACTTGCCCGAAGGGCAAGTAAATCTGAAAGTTAATGTCTATCCCTGGATTGATTCATGATCTTATTGATAAATACAACAAACACATAACACAAAATTTTATCTAGACTTTCTGTCCTAACAACAACATAAATGGACTGTCAACATCAAACAGAATCCAAACTTTGTAAATTCCATGCCTTTGCAGTAGTATGCAATTAGTGAACTTCGATGATCCCGATCGAGTGTGAACTCAACTATAGCGATCCATATCGGGATCGAAGTTCGGTATTAGGTACGTACTGCTTCCGTCTTTGAACTACAGTGTACCGTAAACGTTCGACAGTCGTTCTTTTTTATTATTTTGAGACTTCTTTACATTCAAATGCACTTGTCCAATCGGACAAGCGCCCAGCAATATTCACTTGTCCGTATTTTTTTTTCACTGGTACCGGACAAGCGGACAAGCGTTAATGTCGAGCCCTGGAGGAGTGAGCATCTCCTGCCAACCGACATATATAGGTAAAATTCTATGTTTTAAGGTGCCCCCTTTTCTAAATGTGACTTGATGATGACTGAAATACATTACACCAATGCTTGCCTCTCATTTAAAAATTAGAAAGATAAATAATTATAATTCTATTCCCCTTTAGCACTGTTACACTATTATAATAAACTTTGTTCCTACTTTTTGTCTCTCTAGAACAATTACAGCTCACAAAATACATTTATCCCCAGAATATTGAACAAGTTGACAGTTGATGACAAGTAGTGCAATCTTCAACTGGAACATAGAGAAGACAGGATGAATAGATGCTAGCATATTCTCCCATGATCCAGTTTTACAGGAACAGACAGTTTGCATGGAAATGATGTGCAGAATGCAGAAAGGTTGAAAACTCATATAATTAATGGAACACAATGACATGAGCAGAAGAATTTCTTGAAGTGAAAAAAAATCAGCAGATGTCTGCTTTGTGGCGAGAAGTTGTGCTGTCTTTGAGTTACATGCATGGTTACTTTATCAAAAAGCCAACTGTGTAGAGTTGGGCCTTGTGTTCAATGAGGCTCTATCTCAGGGCTGAAATCAAGAAATGTTTCTTGGAGATTTAGGTTAACCTGACTTCGTTGGCCGAGAGACACTTTAATTTTATTGCTCGATTAGATTCACTATCTCATGTGTAATTGGGCAGATAATAGCTGCAAGTTTATTTCCTATTGACAGCTAATGATTCAATATAGGTTTTATTTGTGTCTAAACAACTTGAAGAAAATTGGTAGTAATTCCTGATTCCCTTACATTTAACTGAATTTGGAGGCTGAAATGGTTCTGTATTATATTAATTATCAATGGTCAAGAGTGGTAGTATTTTTAAGTTAATCTGTCCTTATACTTATATTACTGTATACATTTTGAATTAATTATATTTATGAGTCATAACTATTATATTAGCTTTGACTATACCCAATTCACCATCAGATGACAGGGAAATCCTAAATATCTCAAAATACGGCTTTTTGATCTTCAAACAATTAAACATCAATAAACCCCATTATGATGAAGGTGAATATATTATTTGTTGACATTTATGTTCAGTTTGGGTCATACATAATAAAACCACATCCAGCAGGTGACATTTAACACTAAAGGGTCACAAATTTGCTGATCTTCTATGAACACGGTTTTAATAAAAGTGGTCAAGTTGGGTTAAAATTGTTTGTCCATTTATATATTATTAGTCAAAATTATTGTTCCCTCAACAGTACACAGTCTGGCATGAAAATGCATCTGCATGTATGATAGAATCATTGCATGTATACAAGTTTTGAAAACGTGGCAAATTTATAATGTGTAAAGGTATATGTTAAAAATGGACTTTCCCTCAAATTTTACTGATTTAAAAATACTGTTTTTGGACCATTTATTCTGTGGATTTTTTTTTTTCACTTTCGGCAAATTGTGAAAGCTTAGTAATTTTAGGTTAATGTTGGCAATTCAAGACTTATGATTGTCATTGGTAAGTAGGATACAAAATGATTTTCCTCAATGTATTAGGTGTCAGTGAACTCTTACTGTAGCCACAATAAACAGACTCTTAAGTTGTTGCTGAATAAATCCACAATGGGGAAAAAATACAAATCTCTGGAACATCTTTAAGCGATAATCATCATCTGCGTAAATGCTTAATCACTGGGTAAATACGGAAGGATTATAATTTGAAAGCATATCCATTTTAATGTATGCATCGTTTGAAGATGAAAGGTCATTAGCTGGTAATGGGTGTTCCATCAAAGAACATATAAATTCTCTAAAATGTCATATATATATATTATACTAGGTAGGTCAGTTGTCCTTTTTTTTTGACTCATTAGAGATATTCCAAGGAAGTTAAATGGCTTAATTGAGTGCTAGTATTGTCTATAAAAGTTGGTTTGGCAAGGAATATCAATTTTTATCCAGTTTCTGTGTTAGGTTTTTTTGTTGCAGTGAAAGAAATATATTTTTGAACCACCATATCATCCCATCTTTAAGAAGAGCTGCCAATGGGATAAAGATGGATTAGCATATATTTGCATGCCACAAATATGCTGTTTGAATCAGCAGTTAGTTTTACTGAGTTTTCAAAATTTTGTGGTCACTTACCCAATTCTTTGAGAGATTTGGGTATTTTGATTGTGTGTTAACGCACATGCATAACCCTAATTTACCTCTCAAAGAAGGAAATGCCTGGGTCCAAAGGATGAATTAGAAGATAAATCTTATATTTGATAGAGAAAAATTGAAATATTATGTGTTGATATTTGTTTTACAAAAAAGGAAATGAAGGCATTGCCTATAAAAATTGAGTCGCAAAAGCTTTTTGATATTCCCTGCCAATCTCATACTGATTGCACAAAAAATTATGATTATTATATTGAATTGTTGCACAAGGTGTTTGTGCTCAAGAATGGTAAAAAAAATGTATCTTTGTGTGGAAAGCTAGTGTGAAAAGAGGCCTGCCTGAGATGTAAATATCAAAGGCTATCTCTGGAATCCATCACCAGTAGAATTTTTTTCCAAGTCCCCCCAAAATTAGGTTATGATCCAATCGGTCAGTCTCCTGGCAAAAAAAAGTCTTCCTTTTTTTTTCTGACGTAAATCTTTTGCTATAACCATCAGCCCAGATGTTTGGTGTGTGTATTGAATGACGGACCAATTCATATACAGCTCAACTTCATTCAGTACATTTAAGAATGAGCTTAGGGAAATTTTACATCATAATGTCATCATCAAGAACAAAAAAACAAATAAAAGTCTTGTTGATTTTCACGCTTTGTTGCGGTGGATGAGTGATGGATGCAGAGTTCTTTTTTAGCTCTTCTACTGGTCATTCACTTCGGCTCCAGGAGAGTAAGAATTCCAATGTCTTTATAAACACCTGGGAGCTGATTGTTGCAAAAAGGATTGTGACATGAATGGGTAACAAGATTGCTACATACTGAAATAAATTCATGATAATACTAAATCTCTGTAATGAAAATTAGAATTTTGGTAAATTAAAAAAAAAGTACCCCCCCAAAAAATACCAAGAGAAAAAAAAGAACACCCTTTTTTTAAAAAAGAAAGTAAAAGAGAGAAGGAATTCTGTGGATTGTAACAATTTATTTTTTTTTTAATGTCTGAAGCATACATTATTATGAGCCCATCAGTCAATATGTAAGTTAAAAAAGTCATCTTTACATTTTGTTATAATTCAAAGAAAGATATCATGTACATTTTTTGAAAGATTTTGTCAGCAAGTTGCGTGTGAAAAGTAAGCAGCCTTGGGCAATGCCATAGGTTTCTTGTTTACATAGATTATTGTCACTTGGCCTCTTAAATTTGATGCCTCTGATGAATGAGGAGGAGGGTATATTTTCATTCATTAGAATTTTTAAGGGGGTCATTGTTCTGGTAATAGTAGCAGGTGCTTGGTCCAGGGTTATGCTGGTCTGTCTTGATCTGTGGTTTAGGTAACCATGACTGAATGACAATTGAGAAAAACAGAAATGTCCCAAAATTATGTACTTCCTTTGCAAATAATGGGTTGAGATGATGTTTTAGAATTACAAAACTTAGTGGGAGTTGCAAAGAAATTAAGAAAGTTAAGACATCACTATTCCAGTTTGTAATTGATATGAAATGCTAGCTAATGGTACAATGCTTCTAAATTTTGAGTTTAACTGAAAGTCCATAGATGCAAGCAAAGTATCTTTGTTGTATTCAAATGAACAGTATACCTATTCCTTATAAGGACATCATCCCAGCATTGCACCATAAATAGTTAAGCAAAATAACTTCTTTGGAAGATAACTAAAGCCTTTTGGTTGTTTTTCAGTTGTTCATGGTGTTAGTTCTGATGTGGGTTAATTAAGCAAAGAGATTTATTTAAAAGAAGATGGTGTGAAGGAAACATTAATCAGAGAGCTTAATTCCATGGCTTCAGACATGATTGCAGATCTTTATGGTCCTAAATGTGTTCTTTCATGAGCTACACAGGGCCAATGTCCTTCGCTTCCTTTAATTGCCACTATAGCTAAAGCATGTTATTATATTCTGCATAATGTACATTGTTGAAGAGGTTATTCTGATGTAATTTTTTATTTCTGAACATAAATATTTGATTTTAAATCTTGCTTTTTCATATGCTTTAAGATGCTGAGAGCTTCAGCTTATACTTTTCATAGTTGAACTTAGATAAACTTTTACCAGATAATTAAGTGATAAAAAAAAGCATCAGACAAGACCAGTGTATATGTGTCCCTACAATATTCAGATGAATCACTGTACGATGTAGATGTATTTTTTGTTGGCTACTGGCTGGAGCTTGGGGGAGTGTCCATCAGATGTGGGTGGCATAGTGCCATGTGTGACTTGACTGGGTGTTAAGAGTAATGGTTCAACACCTCTACATGTCTGCTCTACTGCAGGGGCAATATATCAAGAAAAAATAAGGCATATACATATACCTAAGGATTGGATTCCTCATCTTGTATAGATCTACTGATGATGGACTGAAATTCTGTGTGTGTGTGTGTGTGATCATTGTTTGTGTGCACATGTGTTTACATAATTATGGCTATAGACTACATGTACATGAACAGAGTATATTAATTATAGATGCATGTGTACTTTTTAAACTCACCTTAATGAAGATGAGATGATCTCATGCTCTGCTCTCTCAATCCAAGTTAAAGTTTTTAGAGTAGGTTCATTTCTTTAAGTAACTATAAGCACATTCTGGACTGATCTTGCTTGCATGGTCATCGAAGGATGCATTCTACTTAGTCATCAACTGGATGGTGCATCTGACCTATGATTTCAAAATGAAAGGCCAGACTGAAAGTTTTTAAAGAGATAATTTTTAGATCACAGTTAACTGTAAACTGTTCCTTGTCCTCTAGATCAGGGAGGATTCTACATGAGATGTATACTGCTATACATGCTACTTACTATACATGCTTTGGATGCTGTATATCAGAACAAGTGGTGAGGTTTAAGTTTTTTAGAGGAGGAACATTTCCTAACTAATAAAGCTTTGATAGGATGATATAGCTGCATTGATGCATATAGAGATGCATACTACTGTTTAAGCTTTGAATGTTTTATTTCTGCTTGAATGACCAGGTTAAAGATTTGGGAGCAGATCCATTTCCAAGTAAATTTAACCATTCTTGCAGAACCAAACCTGCAAGAATGAAAATTTACCATCCATATTTGGGATGCTGTATCTGCTTGATATTTGTGGCATGCATTAATTAGTTTAGATATTTACATGTTAATCTGAAAGAAAATTAATTTTAAAAAATCAATAATATGTTTTTTAAAAGCTTCTTAATTAACTACTGTAACATTTTATGTTCTACTATTTCTGTTCTGAGTCAGAATATGCACCCCAACAACTATCATGGTCTATTTGAAAAATGTGGATAATTATAATTACATGAAATACACTTTTAATTAAGATTTACCATATTTTAAAACTATGAATGAAAGATACCGTAAACGGTACTAAATGCACTTTGTGTGAATACTGTCAGTTTTAAGTTCAGATTGACTAGGAATTATTTGATTTATTATTTCTGTACAATTAACGCAGAGTTTGTACCTGTCAGAAGATTGTGGAAGGGAATTTCACTTCTAAGAAAACTGTTGTTGACCTTTTGAATCCTGATTTTCTGACAGAGTTATGTCAAAATAAAAGTAAAAAAGTCACATTGTTTCAGGTAACTTGTTTATATTTTTTTAATAAATTATAAGAATGAAATATTTTCATCTTTTACAGACAGAACATATGCAGATCTCGATACAAATGTGACACACTAGGTAAGTTCAGAGTTAAAAATAGATTATCCTGTGTTCTAAGACATGTTCCCGTGTACTTAAAATCCCTTTTTAATGTCAATTCAGGTCTCTCAAATACGTAACTTGTCAGAGCAGGCTGTCCTAACTATATGAAAACTCCATCAATTTTTACATGTCAAGACTTCAATATTCTTAAACATTGTCAGATGGAATTTGTAGGACATTGGTAACCTAACAACTCAAGGTGTCGTAGGAATCAGAAATATTCTGCCACATTTAGTCACTTCCTGTGACAGGCACTAAATTTAGACAAGCACCATAATTAGCTGAAAATCAAAAAGCTGAATTCATGGTTGGATCTAATCTTTTTTTGTTTGTTTGACAATCCATTTATTATTTTCTTTCTTTTTTTTTTTTTGTGTTAGATACTAGTTCATGCTCATTCTTGTTTTTTTTTTTTGGATGAGGCATAAAAATGACAGTAGTATTACAATAAGAGGAGCAAAAATATTAATAACAGTAATTTTACAAATATTTAGAAACTTCGTTTGCAAAATTATTTTTTTGTTATAAAATAACACTGAAGTCATTATCTGATTATAAAGAGACTGAAGACTCAGCCTTCCTGGTCAAGATGCTTTGTCCCATTTAATTACAAATATTATAGCCCCCTAAAGACAAGAGCTCAGATAACCATGATTGATGGGGAAATTGAGTTATAGTCACATATTTCACAGCCTGATCATGTTAGGTCAAGTTAAGTTCACACCCGGCCAGCTAAGGTTGTTAATTAATTACTGATAATTATGTCCAGAGGATTTATGATGTCTGGGGTGCTGGAGTAATCATTAAACATGCACCTGGAACCAAATTAACCTCGTGTTTAGAGTTTAGAGATACACCATTCAAATTGGAAGGATGTAAACTTTTTGTCACTTTTACTTGATCAACATCAATGCAACATTTAACTGATTACTGAGAAAAATTCACATCTATCACGTAGACTTAAAAAGATGCTATGCTTCAAAATGACAAATTAACAGAATAGAATAACTAAATAAAGGAGAAATTTAGAGTAACTAACTTCATTATGATGGTAAATTATGATCCTGTAGAATTTTTTTCTTTTATTATCAGTCAACCATGTTACAATAGAATAAGAGAAATCACATGAAAATTCAACTGAAATTTTGCTCTAATTGCCATAGATTTTTGTGGATCAAACAGACAGCAAAGGTTAAACTGTTATTGAAATCTGTTATTTTCTGTAAGTACCCAAAAAGGTATCTGTGGAATGAAATCTACTGCAGATATAGTTGTTTAATGTGTTCCACTTTAATTTTTTGCTGGTTCAGAAACTATATGCTTCTAAGCCAAAAGTGGGGACTGTTTAATGATGTTATTTGATGAAACTGGAGCTATGACATGAATTTCAGACATTAAATAAGGCCATTATTGTAATTGCCTGAGTCTGGATGTCTGACTTGGGTTTCTGTGAGGAGGTGAATTTGACCTTAAATAGAGCATGATTGGTCAAGAGAAAGGTCAAGGTCATAGATAAATATTGGTAGCAGAGGAACAGTAGTTGTTGGCAAGAGATGTCAAGGAAGAATTTGACTTTCATAAACATTCATTGAAAGAAAGCTCATGGTGTGAGGAGCCCAAATTGAAATGAAAACACAGGTCTATTAATCTGTTGGTTCAAAGCATTTGATTGACAAAAGTGAAAAATTGATCACATATCAATGCTTAAATTGTCTTGTGGTTGTCAGACGGGCTTGATCCCTGGTGGCCAAATAGCTCAGTTGGTAGAGCACCTGACTAGAGATTCAGGGGGCCTGGGTTCGAATCCTGGTATGGTCATTCCATTTTTCTGGAAGTGACAGGTGAAAGACCTGCCAGGGAAGAGCCTGAGTTGGTGTCTTCGGGGGTTGAAGACCTTTAAGGAGGGAAGAATGTGGCATCAGATGGGCTTGATTGCCAGTGGCCAGATAGCAGTTGGTAGAGTACCTGACTAGAGATTCGGGGGGCCCGGGTTCAAATCCTTGTCTGATCCATCACATTTTTCTCCTCTCCTGTTACAGTCTCAATAATTGAATTATGTTCTTTAGGGACTGCAGACTTTACATGAACAAGGTATTGGCAGTAGGGTATTGATATGATGTAGTTCTTCCCAGGTACCATCAAGTCACATCATTATGTATATGGACATACCAGACTGCTGATGTTGTGATTGTGTCATAAGTTCACTAGTCTTTGTCCCACATAGCACAGTCAGCAAGGAGAAAATCCCAGAACCTAGGTCCACAATGATTATACATTTTTTCCTGTAAATTGAATGGAGAAAAAAATGTTTCCAAAAAAAAGGTAATTAAATTTTGGGGATTGGATCTTTTGTTCAGTTGTGATACCTCTGTATAATCTTTGGTGACAAATTACACCAGAGGAAACCATACTGTCACATATAGCAAAAATTCCCCTGCAGGGGAAAATGTTGAACATTATTGGTTTTGAACTAGGGGGCACTTGGAAAGGAAATTAAAGATGCCAAAGAAATGAAGTCATGACTGCATATTGTAAGGGACAAGTATTTTCTGGAATTTTAACTCACCCATCATTTTGATATCTTGTTACATATTTCTAAAAGTTGGGTACATTCATGTTCATTGTTGCAACAGACTACAGATTTATAAAATTGGCTTTTTCATGTCGAAATATCCTGCGTAAGTAAAATAACTTTTTAATTTTGTATCCCAGTTTATCAGATTTCAAACTTGACAAATTTCGGTTAGAAAAGTTTATACATGTATTATATTAATTGCAATTAGTATATATTAAATGTACATTAATATCATTCTGTTCAGTTGGCATGGTCCCTACATGTTATGATTTAATGACAGTGAGAATGTTTGATGTTATTTTACAGGATTAGCAGAACTAGGGACCATGTGTGACCCACGCAGGAGTTGTTCGATCATTGAAGATAACGGCATCAGTGCTGCTTACACCATTGCTCATGAACTAGGACATGTGTAAGTTAAAATTTATTGTCAAGTTTATATGCTTTGCTTTTTCCATGGGTTGCAGCTTGTTAAGTCTTTATCGTGGATCTTGTATCAATAGAAATATAATTGATGTTCAAACATATAAGCTCAAGGTTCTTTTCTAATTTTGCAGTTTTATTTTATTTGCTACTAAATTGAACCACATTTAATTCATTTAGATATAGGCATGTCTTGCTAACTAGTATTTATTGTCCATAAATAATGTTAACTAATAATCATTCATCAAAAACTAAAAAAGCTATTTCAATATTTTAAATTTCCTTTACAAGGAAGGACATGGGATAAACTGTTATGAGTGTTGTTTGTGAATGACAATATATCATGAATACAAGGCTCAAAAGAACAAAAGAGTAATTCATCAGATTTTCTGTGAAAATATTTTCTATCAATTAATTAAGTGTCCTAATTGTGTCTCTATTGAGATTGATTTAGACACATGACGTGTAAAGATAAATATAAAAAGTTAATTTAAAATGACAATATTTCACCAAGTTAAGCCATCAATATCCTCCTCTTTATTTATACAGAGCTAGCTCTTTATCGTATGAATATGTAGTTATCGTATCTGTTAAGATTTGTTCAAAGTAAATGCTGACTTAGCATATTGATAAGCAGAGAAAACTTCATTGATAAAATGCATTATTATGAATGAGTGTTGGACATTGAATCGGAAGACACTTAACGTTTATTCTTACTACTACTGTGCACTTCACGCTGACCTACAAATCGTAGATCCGTGGCGTGTCGGTGCACAGGTAAAATATTGGTAATGTCTACTTGGGGATTTGTGTACTGTGTTGGGAGAGAAGGTTTTGCTGCTGTTTCTCCAGATCCTTTGACAGGTCATTTTGTTACACAGGTGTGAATTTCTTGACCTACATCGGCTCTTCCATTTCCTGTCCATTTTAACAGCAGTTGAACCTATACATGTAACCAATTTGAGGGGGGACAGTTTTTAGGTCACATAGACAGGTGGACTTTCGTAGTGGGTGACACTGCCAGGCTAGGCTAATATTAATGCATTGAACTTTCATCTGCTAAGAGTTCTGGGACATATAAAGTTTCTTTTTTTTCCACCAATTGGTTGTTGAGATTACGTTAAAGGGATACCCATGTTATCACAACAGATCTTAAGAATATGGGGTCAAGTAATCATTGTCAAGCACATAACTAGATGCATGCATATTTCTAAGTTGTTCTTTTAATTACTTTCATTGGAAAATTTCATCAACTTCTTGACAAACTTGAGAGTATATGGAAGTAGCAGTTAATCTCTTTCAGTGTTGATAGCACAGCATTAATAAATCACAACCCTCTCTCTGTTGGGATGAAATTGTAGAAGCTGATATTTAGTGACTGCTTGTCATGCTGTGGCTATTGTATCATTGCCTTATTAAAATTTGGTTGTTGTTACAGAAAACATGAACTGTTTTTTCTTGTTACTAATTTTAGGTATTGTATTGACCATGGGTCAGTTTGGGTAAGGGTGGCAGGTGTTTGTGATGTATGGTCCAACTCAAGGTCTTCTGAGTGTAGTAGCAGTACTAAGGCATTTTATTTTTGTTGCTTTTTTTTAAATGCTTGCCCTTCCAATAATAAGTTTACACCAAATGCATTATTTATGGTTTTAGTGAAAGATAAAGTGAGGTTCTAGGGGGCATATTAAGTGATCTGCTGTATGAGAAACAAATTCAAGAAGCACTGAATGGCTTTTAAAGAATTTCTTCCTGGAAGTTTTTATCTGAGACTTTATGGATGCTGTTTCAAAATTCTTTTCAAATTAATTTTGTAGCAATTAATGCTGATAAGTAGTGTTAGATTCAGGTTTGAATTCTGTACACAGCAAATGTTTTATGAAGATTCTCAGCATCCAAATATTTTCCGTGACAAATAATTGCGATAAAATGCAGAATTTTGCAGACATACCTGGAGGGAGCTCTCAGAAAGACTTCCTGTAGCGGGTTTATAAGGGATAACTGTGTCAAACCTGAATTAAAAGTGTAAAGTAATCAGCCAGTCTTATCATTAAAGAACTGATAGAAATGACAAAAATTGCTGCAATTTATGAAGTCATGGGATTCACTGAATAAAAAGGTTTATCGGGATACTGAATAAATTTAGAAGTCTGTGACTTTTTATGTATTTTAAATAGAAAATATTATGACGATTTCATCCTGTGATGGAGACGAAGGAGAATTTGGAAAGAAAATTCATTGAATATTTCACATTGAAGATATTAGGTTTTATATATGAATGTTAGTGCTATTAGGTCTTGGACTGTTGAGAGAGAAAATAATATGCAAATATTCAGCTCTGTAAAATGAAGGTTTAACTGAGCTCCTGCCAATGTCTGTCTGTTAACTTTTTACATTGTCAACTTCTCCAGAACCACTGGGCCAAATTCAACCAAGTTTGCCACAAAGCATCCTTGGATGAACGGGATTCAAGTTTGTTTAAATAAAGGTCGACACTTTCTCAAGAACCACTGGGGCAGAAAAGATGAAACTTATGTGAAAGCTTCCTTAAAGATTGAAGATTCAAATCTGTTCAAATCATGAGCCCCAAGGGAAGGGTGGGGCCACTATAGGGGATCAAAATTTTACAGATTTATATATTGGAAGAAATCTTCAAAAATCTTCTCAAGGATAGCAATGCCTTGAAATCTTCATTAAGCTTTAAATTTAACTTTAAAATTACTAATGGTTATGATGGTTACTAAGAGGGTTGAAGGAAGGTTAAATTGTGCCTATTCATAAATTATCCCCATGGATCTGTATACTGTCCATACAACATTTGCATGTGAAGGGGAGATTCAGACAAACTGCAAAATCACGAATCCTAGTATTGTTCCGTAATTAAATTACCAGAATTTCAATTAGGATTACCAGGTGTGATTAAAGCCTCCAAGGTAACTGAGTGCCTTTTTGAGTGAAGTGCAGTAGATTATCGCCTGACTGTATGTTTGACATTCTTATAAATGTTTTATGTTTATATAACCCATCAACCTGTGAAGCCACTTATTTATCAGATTAATGAGCAGATTCTATCAGGAGATTTGAACTATTATTACACCTCATAATTGTTTGATGTCATGTTGCTAGCAGCTGGGAGACCCTGACATTCTACCTTTTTTTGAATTTATTTTGAAAAAATTGACATAAGGTTACTAACTGACAAATCATAAGTGTGCACTTCAAAGCAGTGCTGGTATGGTATCATTGGACCCTATTGTTTGAGGGGATCTGTTTGGATGATGATACATTAATGACACAGCATGAAGTACAGCTAACCTGCTTAAAAGTGCAGGAAGAAAACATGCAAGCACTGGTATATGATTGATAGACAAGATATAAGTCCCAAGTTATGCATTCTTCATTGCTAAAAACAAATTATAGAATTTTACAGTAGACTCTATTACATCAAGCTTAAGTGTATTCCTTTGTATCTTTATTTGTAATCTTCTGTATAGGCATTTGCCAACTGTGAAATTTTAATTAAAATTCAGAAAATCAGTTAAAGGGATCGTAAGATTTTTTTTTAATTGATTTATTTTTCACCACCATGCATCATGTCCAATTTGTGACATGTTTTGTCAAGGTGTCGTACAACTAACAAAGAATTACATTCTTGTTCTATGTATCAGTTGCTAATTAATGGAAGCAAATACTTCATTGAGTCCTGGTACAACAGCAGGGTCACAAAAACTCTTAAATACATTATTTTTGTGCATTTTATTTTGTTTAAGATATAAATCCAGGTATCTGCAGTCAAGTCTCCAATATTAATCACAGCATCCAAACTTGGCATCCTTAAAGATCATGAAAATCTGTTGAGATTGAATGTGTGCCATTATTTCACTCCTATTGTCTTTTTCAGATTCAGTTTGCCTCACGATGATGACAAGAGATGTAAAAAGTTTTTAAAGGGACCCTACTCAGACCATATCATGTCCCCCACACTGGACCACAACACCAGTCCCTGGACCTGGTCCCACTGTAGCTCTTCACTCATTACCAGGTTCATTGAGTAAGTGTTGTCAATGAGTTATAAATAAAAGCTGACGAATCTACGGTAGGAGAAAGTAACACCTATTGAAAAAAGTCCTCAATTTTTACTATTCAGTCAGTTTCTCTCGATTTTTTTTATGTATGTGTGACATTATATACTTTGAAATATAATGATACAGTCCTTGAGTGCACATATGCATACACATATGAATGTATATATGTATAATTTGTGTTAATTTTATCATTAGATTAAAGATGTTTAAAAGTATTTGTATGTATAAAAAATTTGTCAATTGGCTTGCATTATGTCAGTTGTTTAGGTGGCCTGACATAGCAACTTGTAGAGCAAAAGTTCACAATAAGTCCCGTTTTATTGTATGACAGTGCTTATGATTTGTTATAATTTGTTGTATGTTAGTAATTTGATGATGCTGACATGTTTTGTTGTATGATGTTCCTGACATGTTTTGTATATGATGTCCTTGACATGGTTTGTTGTATGATGCCGTTGACATGTTTTGTTCTATGATGTCCTTGACCCTTGACATGTTTTGTTGTAGGATGCCCTTGACATGTTTTGTTGTAGGATGTCCTTGACATGTTTTGTTATATGATGTCCTTGACATGTTTTGTTGTAGGATGTCCTTGATATGTTTTGTTGTAGGATGCCCTTGACATGTTTTGTTGTAGAATGCCCTTGACATGTTTTGTTGTAGGATGTTCTTGACATGTTTTGTTGTATGATGACCTTGATATTTTGGTGTATGATATTCTTGACATGTTTTGTTGTATGATGTCCTTTCATGTTTTGTTGTATGATGTCCTTGATATTTTGTTGTATGATGTCCTTGACATGCTTTGTTGTATGATGCAGTGCAGGTTCTGCGGAATGTTTATTGGATCGCCCTGGAAGACGAAGAGAAAGATCAGAGAAAGGTGAACCAGGAGAACTATACGGCATTGATAAACAGTGTGCCCTCATGTTTGGACCAAACTTTAAGATCTGTCCTTATATGGTAATCATTAGAAGACAAAAAACAAACTTATTATCTTCAGTATTTCGCTTTGGAAAAATCTGTGAAACACTTGTTGTTATCTTTAACTATGCCTGAACAGAATATGGTAAAATTGAAAAATTCTCTGCATTAAAAAATTGCATTTCATAAATGGAGATTTAATAGATACTGGGTAAGGAGAACATTGCTTAAATCTTCATAAATTTTGAACGTAACTTTTCTGTTACAGCTGGATTGTAAGCGACTCTGGTGTACAGATAGCAAATCCAAATCCAAAGGCTGTAAGACTCTCCATATGCCGTGGGCAGACGGGACCAGATGTGGAATGGGCAAGGTAGAGTAGTGTCCCTTTAGTCCCATAACGTTACTACTACAATTGTCAAGGAAGTTGCCCGTAACTACCAAATGTCATCACTTCAGCTCTCTACCTTTAAACTTTGTTGGTGTTATTGTCCCTACATGTGTTTATTTGATTTGAACAGTAGTAGCAACTTTATTTTACAAAACAATATTTTGACAAGAAAAGGCTGAAAAGATCCTGATTTTAATGACTTGTAATATTTGATGTATACCAGAACATTTTTAAGCACTTTTTAATTTTTATTGCAAGCTGTAAATTGTACTTTATTTAATGAGAGAAAAACATGTTGACTTTTTTGCACTACTGCAGATGTGTAAGAGTTTCCCCAACAAGAAATGGTGTAATGTTCTTTGTAGTAACCCTGCACTTTAGACAAAAATTAATTTGTGTTTGTAAAAACAGGGAAATTTGGCAGCCTGGTTGCTGTTACTGTTTGAGATGATGTTTATTCAATTGCATGTAAATCATAATATCTAACGTGTATGCATAAAGATTACTGAAAAGTGAAACCAGACTAACTTTTTTTTCTTCTTGTATCAAGATTAATTTTTTTTTTAATCAACACATGTTATCGCAAAGATTTTCTGGGGTAGAAGAAGGCAAGTTTTCAACCTGTATGCAGATTGAAGAACTGCATATGTTTATTATAGAGAAAAATATTAATCTGGAAATTACACAAATTTGATGGGGAGGGTGTCTAAAACTTAAACTTGCAGATTTTATTGACATTTTAAATCTCAAATCTTATTTACATTGCTAATACTGCATAATTTGCTAAAGATATGTTAGCATCAGACTTCTTAAAAGATGCCAAAAATGACATTAACTACATGCAGTGCTCCTGAACTTATGAAATTTGTGAATATATAACAATCGATCAATCTTCATTATGTAGGAAGTTTTAATAAAATTATCATCTTGTGGAGCCTATAAAGATTGTATATTGCTAAAGATAGCGATGGACACACATTAAAAATATTTTTTAATAAGATTACATGAGGAGCATTAATAGATTTATGTCTTATAATCTTTTTAACAAGACTGGTTGGTTGTGATATACTTGATACTACATTCAAATTTGAAACGTATTTTTAGAGGTTTGTAGCAGACAGATAAATGGCCTACTTCATATCCTGGGGTTCATGACTCCTGTTGAAAAGTTTGTAAATCCTCCATTAATACATAAACAGTACATAGGGTGCTGAATTTAATGGATCCAGGCTTATAGTTTCCTACTTTCTGGTGACTTCTAAAACAAACTAGGAGGTAGATTGCAATCTTAAAGAGTTTTACAGGCCCCTCCTCTCAAAACTTATCCCCCTTGATAATATTTAAACATTTTTTGAATACCCCACACAGCATCAGTGAAGATCTACACCAAGAAGCAGGAAATTTTATAAAGTTGTTGCCTCATCATCATAAGATCTGATCATTTACCCAATACCGTTTTTTATTTCCTGGAGAGTTCTGTAAAGGGAGACACATTTGTCAACAGGGGAGGTAATTAAAAGATCTTTTGAAATTTGTCTTCAATAAATAATTTTGCTCCTAGATGTAGTTCATACAAGAGAACAGATGTTTAAAGGTGTTTTGGTGCTTTAGCGTGTAAACTCTTCAGGGCTTTATAGACTTCATTCCTCTCTATTACTCGGTCATAAAGCTGAAGTGCTGTTGTGTTAAAACTTAGTTTTTATAAGTAAAACACTTTTTAGTAAGATAAAAGGTATTTATCTCATTTGATTAACCTTTATTATATTGTGTTTATCAGTTTGACCATGTTGGGCAGGGTTTGTTAAATAAGTCAGGGCAAGTTTTATTACACTGCATATGTACCCCACATTCTTTTTGTAACCGCCTTTTTATTTGACATCAAAATCATGAAAAACAAAACCTGTTCATAAGGCGGTAAATGATTACTGACGTCAAGAAAAGCAAAACGCAAGCTGGCATGAGGGCGGAGGGGAGATGATGACCTTGATCTGATTAACCTGAAACTTAAGGTCACAGACAATCAAATGTGATATCGGTAATTTATCACATGTTCCAGGTTTCAGATTTAATAAATCCCTTAATGATTACAAAAAAAATCATCTCAATATGATGCAGATGTTTTGTTTCTTTTCATCTAATAATCACTTGGTGCATGTTAGATATACAGACCTGGTTGTTCTTCGTTACTTCAGATGGAAATGAGCTCAAATTCATGAATTCAGAAACAATGTTAAGGAATCTAGGAAATTTGGTCAATAATTTCCGGGTTTTTTTTCTGATTAATGAAGACAGATATAAAAAGTTTATTAGAGCAAATAAAATTATTTTTTTTACTTTCTCTTAAGTATTTGTCTGACACTGTGATTTGATACATTGCTTATTTTTTTTATGCAGTGGTGCCAGCATGGAGCTTGTGTGGCAAAATCAATCCCCAAAAGAGTTGATGGAAGCTGGGGTGATTGGGAGATGTATGGTGACTGTACCACATCCTGTGGGGGAGGGGTTCGAATGGCCATCCGCAAATGTAACAACCCTGAGTAAGTTCATGAAGCTAGGTCATTCTGTGTGTTTCCTTTCCTCAGCAATGTTTAAAGAAGATAATTAATAATTCTGGATTGAGTTGAAGTAATCATTAAATAAAGGCCACACCTCCTTTAATGAAGAGGGACCATCAGTGTGCATGTACAGAACTGAAAGCATGTTTTATTTAATATTCTGATAAGCAGAATAGTTTATAATTAAATCTTCTGTGAATAAGATGTAAAATTTCCCTAAGTTGGAGCTATTTAATGATGGTCTTTTGTATTCTTTGTTTTGTTGCCTACTCATGTTTTCTGTTGCAGGCCAGCCAATGGAGGTCGGTACTGCACCGGACAAAGAACCAGATATAAATCGTGTAATACCAAGGTAAGACAGGGCCTTGAACGGGAACAGAGAGCTGAAACATTTCAGCATCTTCCTCTTTTTTACCCACTGATAAAATGCAAGTTTTATGTATCTGTAATGGTGCTCAAGTGCAGGGGAGTCAACGACCCCACAACAATACCTTAATTATTGATCTCCCATGATGCAGTGCAACAAAACCTACAACTTCCCAGCAGTCTCTCCTGCAAAGTTGACAATTATGTATTTAGGAAGTAACAAAATTAAGATAGCAGAAAGATTTTTTTTTGTTAAGGTATGAAGTTTGAGGTTCTCCAGTTAGATTCTGCAAGTAAGCATTTTGTTAGATAGAGGAGGAGGGGTTTTTTTATTGTAATTTTTGAATTAATCATGAAGTTTTAAAAAATTTAGATGAACCAATGGCCATTATAAACATAAACCAGGTGTTGCTATCAGGAGTAGACCTATCGGGGTACTGTTTTGAGTGATAGTAACAAATGAGAAGACTGTGTGAATAATGCAACATGCCTACAGAGTCCAAGAGTTGAACAGGTTCAAAATCGTTCATCTTTTCCTATAAATAAACATTAATTATTGGATTCCCAGGATGTTCTGCCATATTGGCAGTATTTTGGTGTTTATGGGAATCTAGGTGCTTGAACAGGGTTGAATAGCCTCAAAGTCAGGGGATGTGTATTTTTTCCCCTTTGCAATTTTTTTTGTTTTGTTTATAGCCCTGGATGTTTGATAACTTGTTTTTGTTGATAGTTATATGAACCTCATTGTGTGATTGTGTAATGTTTTTGACCCTGAATTGGGTTTTTATTTTGTAGCCCTGTGACCCTGGCAGCAAAGACTTCCGTGAAATACAGTGTTCAGCTTTCGACAACAGCCTGAAATTTCAAGGCCTTCCATCCAATGTCAGATGGGTCCCAAAGTATGCAGGAAGTATGTTAGTTGTCGTCAAACAGAAAATTAAGACATGCGTTAAGGCATTCAAAATTTTCACAAAATTGGATTCTTTTAACCATTAAAACAAAAAAATTTTGTTTGCCACATCAGTTACATTGTGTATCCACTTAGAAATATTTGTAACTATAGAAGAAATAAGTGTACAATGTTCAGGTTTACACATTTTTCTCTGTTTTTTTGACTTGTTAAGAATGGAGTTATTTGTTGTGTTACAGTTCGCTTGAAAGATGTCTGTAAGCTATACTGCAGGGCTTCCTCTAGTTCTGCTTACTATCTTCTGAAAGACAAAGTTGTAGATGGAACCAAATGTGGACCTGATACATTTGATATGTGTGTCAATGGCATGTGCCAGGTAGTAAAAAAAAAGATCTTATAGCAATAAAAGTTAAACTCATAAGTAAAGTACAACTTCATTTGTTGTAATGGCTTGTATTTAAATAAAACATTAAATAATAAGTTTATATTTAAGATCTTTGTAACAAAAATTAAATGAAATTTCTGTGAAGCTGTACTATCATGTTAAAATAGAGATATTTGATGTTACATAGAAAGCCGGCTGTGACAATAAACTAGGCTCCACCATGGTGGTAGACAGATGTGGCATTTGTGGTGGTGACAACTCAACATGCCGCATGGAGCGAGTCTTCAATCGTTTCAACCTGGTTAACTTAACTTATGGTAAGGCTGTTTAAGAGTTGAAACAGAGTAGAATAGTCATCTATAATATCTATGATAGCCTTTAGAAACATATTCTTTATTCCAAGTCATCGTCTACATTATTTATTCAAATCGAGGAATTGCAATACAGTTTAACTTTGTATCTTGAACACTGATATCTCAAAAACCCTTGATAAGTTGAATGTTGAAATGGCCTGGAAGTCCCAACCACTTTTTAGCTCACCTGAGCCGAAGGCTTAAGTGAGCTTTTCTGATTGAAATTTGTCCGTTGTCTGTCGTTGTCGTAAACTTTTCACATTTTCATCTTCTTCTCAAGAACCACTGGGCCAATTTCAACCAAACTTGCCACAAAGTATCCTTGGGTAAAGGGGATTCAAGTTTGTTCAAATGAAGGGCCACGCCTTCTTCCAAGGGGAAATAATTGTGAATTCATGAAAAATTAATGGCATCATTTAAAAATCTCCTCAAAAACCACTGTGCTTGAAAATACGAAACTTATGTGAAAGCATCCTCAGGTAGTGTGGATTCAAGTTTGTTAAAATCATGATCCCTGGGGGTAGGGTGGGGCCACAATGGGGGATCAAAGTTTTACATAGGAATACATAGGAAAAATCTTTAAAAATCTTCTCCTCAAGAACAGCAAAGCCATGATGGGTCATATTTATATGGAAGCATTCTCAGGTAGTGTAGATTCAAGTTGGTTCCAGTCATGACCTCCGGGCTAGGATTGGGCCACAATTGGGGATCAGAGTTTTACATAAGAAAACATAGGAAGAATCTTTAAAAATCTTCTTCTCAAGAACAGTAAAGCCATGATGGGTCATATTTATATGGAAGCATCCTCAGGTAGTGTAGATTCAAGTTTGTTCAAATCATGACCCCCGGGTGAAGGGTGGGGCCACAATGGGGGATCAAATTTTTACATAGGAATATATAGGAAAAATCTTTAAAAGTCTTCTTCTTAAGAACAGCAAACCCATGATGGGTCATATTTATAGGGAAGCATCCTCAGGTAGTGTAGATTCAATTTTGTTCCAGTCATGACCCCCGGGGGTAGGGTGAGGCCACAATGGGCGATCAAAGTTTTACATAAGAAAACATAGGAAAAATCTTTAAAAATCTTCTTCTCAAGAACAGCAAAGCCATGATTGGTCATATTTATATGGAAGCATCCTCAGGTAGTGTAGATTCAAGTTTGTTCAAATCATGACCCCCAGGGGTAGGGTGGGGCCACAATGGGTGATCAAAGTTTTACATAGGAATATATAGGGAACATCTTTAAAAATCTTCTTCTCAAGAACAACAAAGCCATGAATAGTCATATTTAAATGGAAGCATCATCAGGTAATGTAGATTCAAATTTGTACAAATCATGATCCCCCCCCCCCCCCCCCACACACACACACACACACAAACCAGTTTATATTTAAACTTTTCAAGACTGAACTGATTTCTGCTTTTTTCTAGCCAGAGTGCTCAGGTGAGCGATGTGGCCCCTGGGTCTCTTGTTCTTTATGTCTTTTACCAGTAACTCGATTTCTCAAATCCTCAGCTATCTTTTTCTCAGCCCCACTGAGTTTGAGATAACATGGTTTTTACTGTATATTGGTATCTACCCTGAGTAACCGATGAAGGAAAAATGGAGAAAAATAGCAAAGAAATTTGTATTTGTCATTGACTGTGATGTAAATAAATTTGTGTCAGTAGAATACAAGTTTTTATCATTGATAATTGTATTGATTTCTTTAGGGTACAACTATGTTCATACCATTCCAACTGGAGCAAGAGAAATTGTGATAAAACAGCACGGTGTAGTGTCCGGACTTGATGAAGATGGCAATTTTCTAGGTACTTTTTTTGAATGCTATGCATGGCCTCTGTCACTAGAGATACATTTTAAAATGAATTATTCTTTTGGAATATTTGATCAGGGAATTCTATACTAACGGGATAAGCAACTTCCTCAGATGTTTATTTGCCGAAAATGTCAAACATAACCTTACAAGTTTTTCAAACTGCTTATTCCCAGTAAAGATTTTAGTGTTTGATGAATGTAACTTGTTCGTATTGTTTATGAGGATATATGTTCAATAAATTTTAAAGCATAATTGTAAAAAATTTAAACAGTCATCACAATTAGACAAAAACTCTGAAATAAGGCTGGTCAGGGGCATGTGTTGGTTTGAATATAAACAAAATAATACAAAGATTTAAGAGTATAATCAGTGCAAATGACATATTTTGAATAATTTTTGATTGATAAAAGTTATGTTATATGTGATAATATCAGAGATATATTTTTAAAAAGTTATATTTTTAAAAAATTTCTTGTGAGATACTCCTTAGTACAGCTGTATATAGTATATAGGTCCATGATTTGATTTTCAAATTTTGAAATCCTTACTCAGATTTTAATAAAAATTTGTTAAAATTGTTAACAGCTTTAAAGAATGAAACTCATCGTTTCATTTTGAATGGCAACAAGACCATAAATGTGGCCAAGACCAGGATTCGAGTGACAGGAGCCTGGATAGAATACAGTGGATCAGGGGCAGTTGTAGAGAAGATCAATGCTACAGGACCAATCCAAGAAAGCATCTCACTATGGGTACGCAAGAAAGAACAGAAATTGTAGTTATCCTTCTCAAATTTAAAAATATGAAAACAATCATTATACCAAATTATTTATGAGAGGAAAAGAAATAGTTCTTCCATTTTATAAAGAATTTTAAAGGAATTGCCTTTGGTAAATGAATATAAAGAATCCATTTACGCCCATCCTCATTGATATCATAGTGTTAACATATTACATTTGGCTGTTAATCTATCTAGAGCCTTTGGTGGAAAGCACCTTCTAAGTCAAGTACGTCACTAGATGTCTTGTACATTTATTCATTAATGCAATCAAACCTCATTATGTCGAACTCGAAGGGGCTGAGAAAATACCTCGAGATAACGGAGGATTCGAGAGATCCGGGTAAAATACTTAATGAATAAGTAGTTGGGACCTCAAAATTACTCAGATATATTCATGGTATTCGAGATATCCATGTTCAAGATACCCAAATTCAACTGTATATGCATTCAGAAATGTGCTTAATCAAATCAATGCTATCTTGTTGAAAAATTAATTTCTGTCAAATATCATGCATGTTTTAGTATAATAAATTTACAGCACTCATGAAGCATAGATCTTTGAACCCATACTAGAGTTTTGAAGAGGGTAGTTTTCAAATACCCCCTCCCCATCTCTCTCTCTCTAGCTCTCTCTAAGAATGTGAAATTTCTTTATCTGATTATTTTAATGTAAATTTTATAGTTTAATCTGAAGCTGAAATGTTGAGATAAACTTGGATTGTGAGATTTAGAGATGTAGATTATTTGTGATAATCCTTTTAATTCCTAACCCCCTTCTAGTTCCTGTTGAGTATTGCCTCTGGTGACCCAGTCTGGCAGTGAGCTGCTCTCTATCCCAGTAAACATTGAGTTGATCATGTATCCTCTGTTGTTTACATCCATCACCCCCTGTTTTCCATCATGTAGTGTAGGTCAGGAGGTCTCCTCTGTATCCAAAACTTAAACAAATGAAGCCCCTGTTCTAATTGTAACATATTGTTTTCTGTCCAAAATAACAATTGTTTCGGGTGTTTTCTTCTGTTTGCTTGTCAGAACCTTCTTGTTTCTAATTTTTCACCGATTCCTGAATTCTCAGCAATATATTTTTGTGAGATATTTTCAGACCTTTTTACAAAGAGATGAATTACTTATGTGTAATTTTACAAATGGTTTGAAGGAGTCTCAGATTTGCTTAAGTAGGTCTGATTATGTGAGTTTTGTGTAAAGATTTTTGTAATGTAGCCCATATAGCTTCAATGAAAACTTTCTTCAGAAATGAATAGAAAAAAATATACCCGTTATCAAGCAAATTTGCCGAAAATGAAATAAAAATTGAAGGTTCTTTCTTAATTTTGGAAGAGAATTACAAAAAGAAATTCTAATTGCAATTTTAGAGAGAGGGAGAAAAGAGTTGTTTTTGAAAATACTGTCCTGTAAATGATTTGTTATTTCAGAAATAAGTTGCTGCTTTTCCACCATGTTGTTATAAGTTATATACATTGCAGGTGCTGTCAGTTGGAGAGTTATTTCCCCCTAATATAGAGTACACCTACGTCCTTAATGTGGAGTCACGGTTTGTGTGGAGTAGTGATGGGCCATATGAACCATGCAACAATACATGCCAAGGTAGGCAAATATCACCTCCTATATTCATTTACTCACAGAATTATATAGATATCTTGTGTTATTATATTTAAGAAAATGAAGAGTGGAAAATAATGTACACGTACAACTTAAGATTTTATGCTTCAGTTGTGAGTTTATGCTCAATCACTTGATCCCCCAGCATACTCCTTGTTGCAGGTTTAAGGATGGTAATATTTTACCTGGGATATACATGTACCAGTATATGGTAGAAATATTGTACATTTAGGTTTCAGAAAGAAAACAATTAGGTGTGTTATATGTATATGGTAATATAGTATATATTTTTAGGTTATAAATTTGATTTGTTTGTTTGATTGTTGCTTAAAGTCTCTCTCAAGAATTTTTCACTCATATGGAGACGCTCTACCACTGCGCCATGCAGGCGACTGTAGGTTATAGAAAGAGGACTATTGTTTGTGTTCTATGATAATATTGTATAACTAGGTTACAGAGAGAGAATTGTTGTTGTATGGTTATATTGTATATATTTGTAGGTTACAGAAAGAGGACTGTTGTGTATGTTATAAAGTTATATTGTATATATTTGTAGGTTATAGAAAGCGGACTGTTGTGTGTGTTATATGGTAATATTGTGTATTTGTAGGTTATAGAAAGAGAACCGTTGTGTGTGTTATATGGTTATATTGTATACATTTGTAGATTACAGAAAGAGGACCGTTGTGTGTGTTATATGGTAATATTGTGTATTTGTAGGTTACAGAAAGAGGACTGTTGTGTATGTTATAAAGTTATATTGTATATATTTGTAGGTTACAGAAAGAGGACTGTTGTGTATGTTATAAAGTTATATTGTATATATTTGTAGGTTATAGAAAGCGGACTGTTGTGTGTGTTATATGGTAATATTGTGTATTTGTAGGTTATAGAAAGAGGACCGTTGTGTGTGTTATATGGTTATATTGTATACATTTGTAGATTACAGAAAGAGGACCGTTGTGTGTGTTATATGGTAATATTGTGTATTTATAGGTTACAGAAAGAGGACTGTTGTGTATGTTATAAAGTTATATTGTATATATTTGTAGGTTACAGAAAGAGGACTGTTGTGTATGTTATAAAGTTATATTGTATATATTTGTAGGTTACAGAAAGCGGACTGTTGTGTATGTTATAAAGTTATATTGTATATATTTGTAGGTTACAGAAAGCGGACTGTTGTGTGTGTTATATGGTAATATTGTGTATTTGTAGGTTACAGAAAGCGGACTGTTGTGTGTGTTATATGGTTATATTGTATATATTTGTAGGTTACAGAAAGCGGACTGTTGTGTGTGTTATATGGTAATATTGTGTATTTGTAGGTTACAGAAAGAGGACCGTTGTGTGTGTTATATGGTTATATTGTATACATTTGTAGGTTACAGAAAGCGGACTGTTGTGTATGTTATAAAGTTATATTGTATATATTTGTAGGTTACAGAAAGCGGACTGTTGTGTATGTTATAAAGTTATATTGTATATATTTGTAGGTTATAGAAAGCGGACTGTTGTGTGTGTTAGTGATGATGAAGAGAAGATTATTGTCTCAGATAAAAAATGTGAGCGTCTTGAGATTCCCAAGCCAATCCCAAGAACAGAGCATTGCAATATGGAATGTTCTCTTAGGTAAAGTTCTTTTCTCAAAAACATTCAATTACCAACTTTCTAAAAGTTGAAATTTGTTAAGCTTTCATTATTTTTGTTTTGAGCAAGTTTCATTTTTTTTTTTGATAATGAAAGAAAACTTGCATTTGCCTGGTCCCACCCTGAACCATTTTTTTAAGGAAGCTGGGTTGGAGCCACAAAAAGGGTCTTTTTTATGTGAAAATGTAAAGGAGATATAGATACAGGACAATGTTTTTTTTTTTTTGATTAACAAAAAGTGGGTGTTTTACAATTGGTACTATAATATGATAATTAATGATAGAACTTGAAGTTTACACTCATTAGCTCACCTCGACGAAGTCAAGATGAGCTTATGCTATACCCCCGGCGTCAGCGTCGGCGTCCCGGTTAAAGTTTTAGGAGCAAGTCCCATTCCCAAGTAACTTTAAGCCCTACCTAGACCAAACTTGCATGGATGATGCATCTAGGGATGGACACTAACAAACCTGCTTTGGATGCTGGATCTGACCTAGATTTTCCAGATGAGTGACCAGGTTAAAGTTTTTGGAGCAGGTCCATTACCAAGTAACTATAAGCCCTACCTAGACCAAACTTGCATGGATGATGCATCTAGGGATGGACACTACCACACCTGCTTCAGATGTTGGATCTGACCTAGATTTTCCAGATGAGTGACCAGGTTAAAGTTTTTGGAGCAGGTCCATTCCCAAATAACTTTAAGCCCTACCTAGACCAAACTTGCATGGATGATGCATCTAGGGATGGACACTAACAAACCTGCTTTGGATGCTGGATCTGACCTAGATTTTCCAGATGAGTGACCAGGTTAAAGTTTTTGGAGCAGGTCCATTCCCAAGTAACTATAAGCCCTATCTAGACCAAACTTGCATGAATGATGCGTTTAGGGATGGACACTGCCACACTTGATTTGGATGCTGGATCTGACCTAGATTTTCCAGATGAGTGACCAGGTTAAAGTTTTTGGAGCAGGCCCATTCCCAAGTAACTATAAGCCCTACCTGGACCAAACTTGCATGGATGATGCATCTAAGGATGTACACTAACAAACCTGCTTCGGATGCTGGATCAGACCTAGATTTTCCACATGAGTGAATTTTAGCAATAATTTAACTAAATTAGCATGGATGCTGTATCTAGGGATGAACACTTCCAAACTTTCTTTGGATTCTGAATCTACTTACATTTTCTAGATGAGTGACCAGGATAATTTTTTTTTGGATTAGCTATATAAAATTATGGCCTGTTATGATTAAACTTGCATAGATGGTGCATTCAAGGATGAAACTTCCAGACTTGCCTTGGATGTTGGAACTGACCAAAATTTTCTTGATTAGTAAACAGTTTTTTGAGCAGGTCTATTTCCAAGTAACTATAAGTCCTACTTAAATCAAACTTGCATGGATATTGATCTTGGGATGTACCCTAACTAGAAAAAAAATATGATGTGAAATTTGCCTTACTTATAGATAACATTCGTCGAGGTGAGCTTCGTAATCTTTGATTACCTATGTTTTTAAGGTGGGAGGCTGAAAGACATGAATGTTCAGCTAGATGTGGAGAAGGGGTGTCTAAACAGACTGTAAGGTGTATAAAGAAGACCAACTGGAGGGAAGAAACTGTCTCTGAAGATCAGTGCAAGGGGTCAGGGCACCGCCCTGGGGACCTTGTTATGTGTACAGGGGAGTGTAATCCCACACAGTGGCAGTACACAGAGTGGTCCAGGGTAAGATTATGAGGTCAGGTATTGTTATCTGTTCTATTGTCATCCAAAAACTTTTGAACATTCTCAGCCTTTTCTGCGATGGTTGAGTTTATTTCATCCAATTTTGATATGTGGTGTCTATTTGGTTAAAGGGAAGTAAGTGATATGAAATACCATAGTAAAAAAAACCATAATTGGGTTCTACGTACAATGTAGGCACAAACGTAGGGCTTAGTTAATAATTATAAAAAATGCATTTTATCTGTAAAAATTTTCCTTATTACTCAGCAATAAACATAATATCCCCCACTATATTGTAAAATTCATGTCAAATGGGTCCAGAGTTCTAGTTTTAGGTCGGATTGAGTTTCTCAAAGCCTCAGAAACTTGTGAGTCTTAGGTTGCCGTCAAAGCTCATTGGCCTCTTGTTAAAAAAAGGATTTTAAACTCTAAGGTTATCTGTAGCACTGACAGTTACAGTAGAGACTTATCAGGAAACATGCTTCTTTTCCTGTGAACATTTATTAACAATTATTGATATGCTTAATAAACACTTCCTCTACCCAGTGGCTTTTAATCAAAATTACTTCATTACTATGTTGGAAGATATTTTTGAAGTGTTGAAGTACCCTTATAATTTACCATTGAACAGCATGGCAGATGTTTCTGAGACAAAGTATTGATTTTGGCAGTATGTAAACAGAATAAAGTTTCACACTCAGATTTTTATTGTCGAAATAAAATTTTAGTCATACTTGTTTCACTTTCACAGTGCACTAAAACCTGCGGAGGAGGATTCCAGGAGAGGGTAGGGAGGTGTATGGATTATCGTCAGAATGAGCTTCCAGACACCGAGTGTGATGACACAGGGAAGGTGATGATCCAGAAATGTAATGAACACCCCTGTCCGGAGTGGCACGCCAGTGTCTGGAATGGGGTAAGGAAGACATGGGGGTCCTAGAACTTTGTCAAAATTTGGTCAATTTTGTGCCAGTCTCGCCTTTGCAAAGTTCGATTTTTTTTTTCTCTTTCAGTGTTCCCATACATGTGGAGCAGGAATCCGACACAGGAAGATCTTCTGTTACCAAGGAAAAACTAAAGTCCCCGAGAAGGAATGTGACAGAGACAGTCGGCCCTCAAACATGGAAGTCTGCAATCAGGGACCCTGTCCTATTTGGCACACATCAGGCTGGGAGAGGGTATGTACATCAGTGTGTATATATTAGAAACAATTTGTCATCAGGATAAAGGAAGTGGCTTACTGAAACTCTGATGTAACTATTTGTTGATAAAAGAATTGTTGTTTGGTTTTCCTTACTATGGAATAAAGTTATTTTGTCCAGAAAATACACTGAATTCTTGTACTTGACAGTCATTGTGTATAAAGAATCTGGTTTAAAGCTGTAGGTAACAAAGGGTTTATTCTGAAGTTTCTTATTCTGAAATTGGAGCTTGATATAAGCTGCAGTATATGATACTGGAATGATTATGCCCTGATAGTATCTTTCACTTTTTTTCATCTGTGAAAGAAAGTTTATTTCTGTAGATAATTCAAACCAATAAAGAGATAAACATTGATATATGGAATGATAAAAGAAAATATGATTTCCTAATCAGTATTCCACATTTATTTACCATAATAAATGTATATGTTTGCAGATATGCATGGAGACCAAGAAGAAAATGATTCATTTTAATTTAATAAAGCAATAATGATATAGAGATATCATCATTATTGACGTATCTACATGTATATTACTGTACACTGCTGTGCAGCCGTGTATATACAGTAAGGTAGAATCATTGGCCTTAGATCCAGACAGTCATGTAACTGACCATTCTCTTTGAGAGCTTCTTGTAAACTGATTGATGAAATGCTAAGATTATTGTCAAGATCCTGTAGATCAGTAGCTTGATTAGGTTCATCTGGGTTATCTGCCCTTGAGTGGCCATGGTGTGATGGATTATCTACCCCTGATCTCTCAGATAATCTGTCATGTATTAGATTAGACAGATAAATTCTCCATGCTGGCTCCAGATAATCCATAAGCCGCTGTTCTATGTTCTGTTTGATGATCTACCACCAAGTTAAAGATGTGAGTGTTGCATCTAATTAGGATTAAGGTTCAGATAGGAACCTGAATTTAACCTCTCCATTCTATCATTGAGAGTTTATTGATGGGGAGAGATGAGAGAAGTGACATGCAATAAAGTATTCCCCCATTATAAAGCTAGTTTTTTCTGCTCATAATTTTATTGAGAAGATGTAGCTGTTCTTCTTGGTCTATAACTTTGAATTGAAATATGTCTCATGATTGTACATTTATTATTGCATTGTATTCCTATATATTCTCGTAGAAATGTAGCAGTAAGAAAACAAATTTGAAAATTTTCAAAGAAACGGCTTTTTTTTTTTTTTGATGTTCAAGACTTCTGATGAATTAAATATATTTAAAATGTACTGAAAGTTGGGAAATGCATACTTTAATTAGAGAGTTTTAAACAATTGAAAATTACTAGGAAATCCACAATGAACAAACTTCAATCTTTGGTCTCCTTTAGTTTTATTAGAAAGTAGTAAAGCTGGAGTAATTTTGATTAAATGAAAATGCATTTAACCTGACAAGAGTACTTTAATTTTAATCTCCTTGTAAACAACAAAGCCTGGAGACTTGATTAGAGTTAATCTCACTGTCAAGTCCATGCCATTATTGTGGGTGTCGGACTGTTTTGAGTATAGGGTTGAAAAGGCCAGGGGCAGGTCAAAAAAGTCATCAGGACATATTTTTACTCAAGTCAAATATAAGTTGTGGTGATTTTTCAGCAAACTAGGAGAGGGAGGGGCGGATGGAGGGGTATGAGTGAGAATTGATGTGACATGATAAGAAGAAGAGACACAGTGATAGGACTTTTATAGACAAGCAAGGTCAGGGGAGGTGGTAGAGAAGAACTTGAATGGAATTTAATAACTTTGATGTTTCTATCTGAATTCGCTTCATTGAGATTTGTGGGCTGATAATAGACTGTCCCCCATTCATAAAGTGTCTCTACATCATTAGGGTAACAGCTAGGGGTTACAGTTGAGGGGTTTTATGTGGGTAACAGAACAGTCTATCAATTACCATAGCAGTAGAGCAGGGGACTAGATTTTACTTCAGACTGTCATAATTATTTTTCCACATTTTGTCTCTTTAAAGGTGTCCTTGTCTCCTTTATCAGTCTTAGACATAGAGCAGTTAATATGTAAGAAAAAAATGGATATAAAATTTGTTACTTGACATATTTACTATCATGAAAAATTAATTTGAAGAATATGAAAGTTGTGAATATCAAGTTTTAATAAGTGATTTAATTCAGAATGTAAAAAAAAAAAATTTCTGGGACGTTTTGTTACATGTACTCAATATTGCAATACTTATTAATTTTTTTCTTAAAAATACAAACAAACCTTAAACAGCATCACCAGTTCAGAAGTTTTCATTTCTATCTAAGGTAACTTGACACAATTGAAACTGTCACAGTTGACTGATACTTCCAGTCCATATAGTATATATGTCAATGTCAGATATGTCCTCTCAGTCCTACTCATGAAACTTTTCAAAGACATCAGTCTTAACAGTTTGTCGACTTTGCATAATAACAGTACATTGTACTTGCCAGAGGAATTTTTTTATTATTCCGAACAAATTAAATCTTTATTATTTCTTTCTTGATTTTGTGTACAATGAGGAATCATTGCTTTTTACTTGGTCTGAGGCCAGTCATTTGTTTTTCACACAACACTTTTCTTTAATAAACTTAAAGCATTTATTTCTTTGAAGAGCAATGATGAGATCAAAGAGTAGCTTAAAGATGTAGTAGAAAACTATAGTGTAAAGACAATCGCTTGCAAGCACTTTACTGATAGAGTCAGAGACGAGTCAGATTAATTCAAATTGAGATAATCTTCAAATATTTTTTTTTTTAAACAAATGATCTCTTCTTGAGAGTGCTGACTAGTATTTTTTACTCACCTTCACCAAAATGGTATAGCCTTGGGCTCTATATGATGAATTCTGTAGAAGACTGCATCTTTAATTGGGAAATTCTAATGAAATAACAGATAAGAAAAATAGAAATTGAATATTTATCTTCTGATATGTATTAATTGTGATCCTTTCTTTCTGTCAGTGCTCTGTAAGCTGTGGACATGGAGTTTCGGTCAGAAATGTCCAGTGTCGAAGCAAGGAGGGCCAAATCCTACGGGGTGGGGTTTGTGACCCCTCCAGTCGACCTTATGACACAAGGAAGTGTTACATGGGACCATGCCCCCTAAAACCCCGCCTGAAAATGGTAAAGAAGACAAAGTCCCCCAAAATGATGGACATAATGACCACTACTTCTACTACCCCTCCTCCTACAACTACTACAGAAAGAAAGACAACAACAACACAGCAACCAGTCAAGTGGAGAACCAGTGATTGGTCTCAGGTGAGCTAGGTTTCAAATTGACCTGATTGCTCTTAAACAGTGTTGGAGTGTTCTTGAGTTTAAAACAAAAAAAATTGGCACATGGCTGGGTGCTGGTGATCTGTCTAAGCCACAGAATTAAGATTTTGTCGATAAATTGAACAGTTCTCAAACTTGTAAATTGGCATTGGTTTTTGGAGGTTCAAAGGAAACTTGAGAGATGTAGACAACAGTGAAAGGTTATTTAACACATTTTAATCCTTAAAACTGTCAGCTGATTTCATTTCTTCAAATTAAGTTGGCAGCCATGCAAAGCACCTTTATGACCTTGATGAAGATGTGATTTTTTTGAGGGGAGGCTACAAGTCAATATAAAGTGTCTGCTGTTGTTCAAGATATGTCAGGTCATTACACTAATCCAGCATAGATTATCTGTTTTCTGTCTGAGGTTTTTTGTCTTAATTCCCTCCGCCTTGTTTTTATCAAGGCAAGGTTTCAGTTCATAATATTCCCCTAATAGCCAGAATTGATACTGAACAGATTGCAGTATTATATGTAATGGATGCAGAAAAAGTCTATTCAGGAATACATGTATTAAAAATAGTTGGATAGTCGTTAATTGATTTTAAATGTTGAAGCTTTTTCTGAACTTCAAAGGCCCTCTTTAATTCAAAACTGCATATCTAACAAGTAATGTGATTAAATCTCCGGTGGCTAATGAATTCTATTTTAACCTCAAGGACTTTTTTGATTAAAGATTAAAATAGAACATTGATGCACACATGCATGTGTGATTCAAGCCAAAAAAGAAAAAGGAAGCCATGCAGACCGACACAAAAAGTTGTCACATTTTGAAAATGGTATAAGGAATCAGACAAGATGCTCATTAAAATACAGCATCTCACATGTTAATTGGAATTTAACAAGGCAAGGAGAAACATGATCTAGTGCCTCAGACAAGCTTATCCCTGGAAAAAATCTTGCCAGCTTGTAAAGATTGTATCAAGATAACATATGAGAAGCGATATTAATTACCCAAGGTCCACATGTTTAACAGCAGAGGGGATCTGTGTGGTCTGATTGACTGAAGTTATTGAGGGTCAGTCGAGGTCAGAGAGCAAATCAACCCTGCAATGTTATATCTCAATCTATTGAGGCATTTTTACTGTTTTATCAGAAGGTGGAAAGGAAATTTCCTTATGCATATGAGATATCTTAAATATCAAAAAATGTAAATTATAATAGAGAGTTTGAAAGGAGGGACTAACTGCTTAAATTTAATTCGTAAAATAACTTTTAATTTTTGTTCAATTTATCAAATTAATTTTATTATTTGTGGAATTCTTCAACTTAGTTTTTAATTTTTGTTGTTATATGTGTTTACGTCTTTCCAGTGTTCTGTGACCTGCGGGGAGGGCAGGAGGAACCGCTTTGTGAGATGTGAGGATGCTCAAGGCTATGTGAGGAGCCCGTCCCTCTGTGGTCAACTGGACCGACCCATCAGCTCAAAGGCCTGTTCAGAGCGACCTTGTGGATACTGGAGGTCAGGCCACTGGGGACAGGTAAATATAGACCATTTCCCTTCAACTAGAGTAGTACTGCCTAGAATCATGCACCCTGGTAATAGTTAAGTCTTAATCAGAGATAATATATTTACAGGAGACTTCTGATTAGATTGACAACATCTCATTCTCTTAACTCCTAATTTCCTCATGAGATAAATCAGATGGTGATTAAATTGCTTAAAATTTTATATTACAGTAGAAAATGTCACCTCCAGTATTTGATGTAATATTCTGCTTTATTGGCCATCGTAGATTTTTATTATTGGGTGATATATTCATAGTCCTCAAATGCTTCCAAAATGTAGAAAAATAGTCAAACATTAGAAAGTAAAATATGGTAGACCTGCGTAAGATATTTCAAACCTTCCTGCTATATGTAAGTTAAAAAAAAAGTTCTTTACACATTCCTCAGTAGAGGGAACTTTTAAGTGAAGAGTTGAAGGATATTCTGTAACTATAGGATGTGACATTGTATGCAATAAGAATTGACAGACCCACAGCAGTGAGCATTGCTATCTGTTTTCTGATCTCCACTGCTGCAAAACTACACCTCAAACATTGACAGCAAAGCTGATTTTAATGCTGATGAGTCTGTTAACATAGATATAAACTGGCTTGATGTGACAGTATATCCTGTCAAATCCACCATCTTCAGTATCCGTTCAGCACAATAATGAGATAACTCATTGGTGATTTATGAAGGGGGGTAGCTGTTAATTGAAATGATTTGTGATGGAAACGGAAGAGAGCAGAGAAAATTTAAAGATTGATAATTGTTGTCATTCATAATTTTGCCATGCATTTTAAATTGATATAGGAAAAAATGGTTTTACTGTGTTAGAAAAAAAACTGCACCAAATGGAATATCCGACCATTACTTACAGGGGAGATAATTCTAGGGTGATTTATGTATTTCTGTAGCTCTTTAAAGGAAAAATTGAGAACTGTTGTCATTTACCATGGAAAAAAAAGGATATACAATGTAAGAAATAATTAAAATTTTTGGTGATTACTTATAGAATAGACAATTCAGTAGTGATTTATGTGGTGGGATAATATTCAGTTGAAATGAAGTTTATTGTTCTTTTAGGAAGCAATAGAGAGGCCAAAGAATTGTAAAAGATTGATAATTGTTGGCTTTCAAAAATGTGATTCACTTAGCAATGATGTAGAAAATATGGTTTACAGTTACTGTACAATTTAATATCCAGTGTCACTAAGTGAGTGGTTATTTATGAATGGGAAGTAGATGTTTATATATGAATTAAGTAAGAAGAATATTTATAAAATTGATAATTGCTGTCAATCAAAGGTTTGCCATGCACTAAAAAATGATGTTATGGGAAAAATGATTGTAGAATTTGATTAGAATTTAGAAACTTAAAAGGGTTACACAAGTTTGATGAACTGCACTGCAAATACGATTAATTATAGCATTCTAGATTCTAGATTCATAAGTTCTGGAAGCCCGAGGAGCATTAGATTTTTTTCATTTTGAAAAACCAGAGACAGTATCATTAAAAACTTGTACATGTATTATCCTAATATTGTAAACATGCCCATATTTTTTTTTAGCAAAAGTTGCTATATTGGTTGACTAATGTACTGTAATTTTGATACAGTTCAGCTGTACTTGAATATCACCAAATGTTCAATGAGGAAACCATGTTTTATAAAGCTTCCTTCACTTACAGTGCAGTGTGTCTTGTGGGGAGGGAAAGAGGGTGCGTCAAGTCATCTGTTTTAACTACAACCACCAGCGAACATCAGACCACCAGTGTAATGCTGCGATCAGACCAGAAACCGCTCGCAAATGTCAGATGGGGGACTGCCCTGGGGACACTGTGTCAGAAGCACCCAATATAAGTACGACCTCCCCACTGTCTGTTGACTGGAGAACAGGTCCTTGGACCAAAGTAAGGAAATGAGAATAGCATTCTTAAGATTTCATCTTGAAGCTTTGCCTTTAGATTTAATCAATCACTTTCAAAATATGAAAATTAAAATTTTAATTCCAAAGCAGAAAAATAAGCCATAATTAGAATGATATGTCTTGGAGATAAGGATGAGCCAGCAACAACTAAAGCTTTTTGCAGTTTTTCATATGAAACAATATAAAGATACTTTCCATTTAAGTGTTCAGTTACCTGTGATTCTGGCTGGCAGAGAAGATTGGTGGTTTGTCTGTCTAACAATGAACACAGTGAAAAATGTGACGTCGACCGCAAACCAGAGGAGACTCGAGTCTGTAACATGCCTCAGTGTCCATCATGGAAAACCGGGCTTTGGTCTCAGGTATGTTGTGACTTGTTTGTAATTATAGAAGAAAAGTAACCATAACTTTGTTATTTCAATATTCTACCCTTTCTGTGCTTCTTTAGATTTTTTAAATGTGTTTAGTTTGCAAGAAATTTGATACTTGTATTTTCGTTTTTTTTAATAGAACATTTACACAACCCATACTCTTAAATATTAACTTTTGGCCGTGGTAAATACATAATTACTTATTGCAGTGCTCTGTGAGCTGTGGTGGAGATGGAATACAAAGTCGTAGGGTGACCTGTGAAGTGAGCAACAATCACATCCTACAAGACACCATGTGTAACAGCACACAGCGTCCAATTGTCAGACAGGCCTGCAACAGTGGCCCATGCCAGACTAAGCGCCGCTGGAAAGTGGACCCTTGGCAATCGGTAAGACGCAATAGATGGTATGAAAGGTATTATAAGTTGTTACGAGATAGACAGTATCAAGAATGGTTACGTAATCAAAACCGGGTTCAGAATCGTAACCAGGCACGAAACCAACACCGAAGGCGTTACCAGCAATACAATCGTTACCAACAACGCAATCATAACCAGCGTTATAGAAGTAAAATTTGGTCAGATAGATATCGACAGCAACCTTGGTGGATGAGACGTTACTGATTTTATAAGAAAGTCTATTGTGCAGTCATCATTATTTTTTTGAGGGCCGAGAAAAAAAAAGTATTTTTATTTATGCCAGACTTCACACTGTCTTGAATTCAGATACCAAAGCTCTGCTACAGATGTGTCATTGGAATTCATTTTCTAAGATTTATAAAAGTTTTTGACATTTTTCAAAAGTACCTATCAATTCTTAATTGATGAAGGTGCAACTGTAAACTAAGGAATGATGATATTTGATGATAATAGAACACAACTTGAGAAAGAACTGGAATTTCAGTACAGACACCTATACTTTATAAAGAAGTATAAATGTCTCTTTACAATTCATTAATCCTACCCAGTAGAAACATTGGAATCTGAGTGCAGGCTGAAAGACTCTTTAATCAGGAAGCCTTTTGCTTGTATAAATGATGGTTTTGTAGCTATTACATCAGAATTAGAAATGTTCCAAGTACTGCATGCAATCTTATAGCTCCTTATGATTCCAAACGTGAAGATGATATCATGGTTTTGTGCAATCCTTCTGCGGTTGTTTTTCTGTTTTCATGTCATAGAGAACATAATTTTTATATTTTGATGTCTACCTCATGTTTTTTAGTTGTTTATTTTTCTATTGCTTTAATATTTATTATATATCAAGACTTCTTGGAAATTAATTTGGTGCAAAACATTTTTTTTCATGTTTCAACTGCATATTATGAAGTATGTAATATATACATCAAGGATTGTTAGAATTCTTCACACTGTGAGCAAAACAAATTAATCTAAAAGTGCGTAAATGAGTTAGTGGGGCAATGTTAATTAAAATTGTTGTTTGTGATGTAAAGAATCACAAATAATTCTGAAGAAAGTGACGCACAATCTGTAATGAGGTATTGAACAGCCTCCTATGATCTAGAACAGCAATAAACAACATTTTGAAGGACTTACATCAAGGTGATATTAACAATCACAGCCTGTCAGAATTAGGACTGTAATCTATCGCCCTCGATTACGCTCTTCTATTGCCCTTCATTACGTTCTTAACAATCCTCTTCATAATTGTTTCCAGCTTATTTTTTATTTCTTCAAAAAATCTTGAAGAATTTTTTTTTTCTCACTCTAGAATTTGTACGATATTTTGTATGAATGCCAACTGGGCCAAAGCGGTAGAGATTTTTATTGATGATTCTCCAAGTCTGGCTGGGTGGCTTGTTGCCATTAGAAAGTAAAACTGTTCATTGCGGTTTATGACCTTTAAATATCGGTCTAGTGATCCACCCAGACCAATCAGCATTACCTCCCCTTACAACATTTTATCAAATTTATCTGACATCTGTGATCTTTTTTATACATTGAGGTGCAATCCCAGCATATTGCACACTTCTTTTATGTAAAAACATCATGTCTGAATGATAAAAAGGTTATAACAGTGTATTAGCCTAGAGACTGGATAATTGGCTTCTATAATCATTTTTTCCCCATTGTATTAGAACAGTTTCAAAGAAAATACGTCATGTTTACTCGGTGCATCAGCAAAAAAAAGTGTTTCAAAATGCAAGAAATTTCTTAATTGATACTTTTTGTTTCTAGAACTTGAACAGAATTGCAAAAAAAGTTGATTCAATTAGGCTTGCTGAGCTTGTGCATTTTTCCTCGAAATTTCCACCTGTTAAAATCTGCTATGTGCAGGTTACTGTGGTAAGGAAAACCTTGACTTTGCTTCACATTTTTGAAATGATCAGACAATCGTGTTTATATAATCAGTGGGTGGTAAATTCAACAGCCTCAGCTGCTGCATAAATACCAAGCCAAACATGACGTTAGTGTCTCTGAAATACTTTTTCCCTTCTGCTCATTTCAAATTATTTTCAGGTTGTTTTTTAGTAATTAGGTTTTGAAATTTAAGTTACACAAATGGATGATGAAATTTAAAATATACTGAAAGAAAACTAGAACAAGAGGCCCATGGGCCAAAATAATCACCCGAGTCACTTTGGCCCTGATGTTCTTCATCAACAGTTAAGAAATCTTAAAAATCATAAAAATGTTGATATTCCATATTGTGAACCAAAATCTAGCCTTGAGGGAGCTATGATTAAATCAAACTTGAATCTTCACTAATTCTTAATTATCACCTGTTAAAAGAGGGTTTGGCCCTTCATTTGATCAAACTTGAATCCCCTTTACCCAAGGATGCTTTGTAGCAAGTGTTGTTGAATTGGGCCATAGGCTTTGGAGAAGAAGTTGAAAATGTGAAAAGTTTACAGAAGACACACGACAGACAGACAGACAGACAGCTAGACACATGGACACCAGACAGTCTTCAATCAGAAAAACTTGTGACACTTGAGCCTTTGGCTCAGGTGAGCTAATAAAAAGAAGCAGATCTATTCCTAAGGATGTAACATCATTTAATATTAGCATTTTTTACCATCATTAAATCTGACCAGATTTATACTGTTTTACTTTAAGCATGGAATAGATAATTGCCCTTTAAGGTTAAAAACAAATCCTGCTTGTGCAATTTTTTTTCTTGAGTATACAAGTGATTTCAAAGGTTTCATGTAATTTAATATATGTGTGTAAGTTCTCTGTGATCTCGAGAGTTCACTGTGTGAAAATCTTTGACATACATGGTGAATTTATGACAAAAGTAGAAGGATATTCTGTGTCACATCATTTAAAGCCCAATACCACCCCCCCCCCCCCTCCCGGGCATGCAGTGTATGGGAAATAGTGTGGTAGAGATTGAACAGATATTTTTCTGAGGCTCTTTGATGAGAAATCTTAGGTATTGGCAAAACCTAGGATTTTTCTTGAAATAGATTTATACAAGCTTTTAGGAGATATTATCTTCATCTGATAAAGAGCTCATTTTTCAGAAAAAAAATCATTCTGTATTCAGAGAAAAATATTGTAATGTTGGAATTTTGAAAGAAAAAGAGTATAACTGTACATGCATGTTAAACATTCTTATTTTAATGAATACTGTGTTTTTATAGAAAAAAAAAAGTTATTGAGTGTACTCTACTTTATTAAATAGTACTCAATCTCTACTTTAAATCACACTTGTACAGAATTTAGAATTCATTCTAATTTTTAAAAGATACCCCTTCTAGTACTTTTAGTTTCCAATATTTATTCAAGAAATTTTGACTTATTGTGTGTGTGTGTGTTGGGGGGGGTCCTTTAATTGTTATGAAATAAGACACACAGAAGGTTTCCACTTTTATCATAATGACCAGTATACTATAAATGTATTGATATTATACAAGTACTTAGATTTTTTGGTGTATTAATAGTCCATGTATTTATTTGCATTCAGAATTATACAGTGTCAAGTAGCAAAGCGATTTTGTAGGTAAAATTAAGTGAAATATTGACTGTATTTAATTTTGATTGTGATATTCAATACATTTTTGTTACAGCTTATTTTGATATTTTTCTTTGAAATTAATATTTTTAATAGAAATGGTGCTTATTTTCTCTTATAATTTTTGGTCTGTGATATATATATATATTTATATTATTCTATGTGTATTAATTTTTGTATGTGCCAAAAAAAAATTGGTTGTACATTTGTCATATTAAAGCTATTTTTGATACCAGTTGTCATGTTTCCATGGAAAACCACAAGTAGAAGGCCTAAATAAGAGTTTCTATCCATTCCTCTGCAAGTTACCCCCCTTCTGTTCCTTCCTACCTTTGTACCCTCTGTAGTGTAGAGAGACTAATTGCAGATCAAAAGTAAAGACATGTAATCTTATAAGAAATTAAAGTTTTACTTGTCAGATTGAGGGATTTGACACATCACACCAATTCTTTTTGCCTTTACTTTGTATAGCTTATTTAGTAAGCAAAATTTCTGAAAATTTGGACAAATATCATATAATTATCAACATCCAGCAGTTGATCATTGATTGATATTTTAGATTTTACTTGTTTGAATAGTTATTAATCTTTATTAAATTAAATAAATTAAAATATTGACCATCTGATCAAGCAACCAAATGATATACAAGACAATATAAGAATCTCAACAAAAAACTTTCCCAGACTTCTAGTAGAAACATTTGATGCTTTAAATTATTTGTCCAAACACAAGTACTCTCTAAGTAAAAGTATGGAGGAAAATGGACTGGATATTTAAGCAATGAATTGAATGATAAAGAAAAGGCAATGAAATAAAACCAATCTCTTCAAGATGCCATTCTTTCCTGTTGAATACTGAATAAAACTATTGCAAAAAATGTCTGTGAAATAAGAAAACAATAAATGTTCAGGTTAACATTAATGTCATGGAGCCCCATAGACTTTATCTTCCTTCTCTCCAAGAGATTCCTTGTCAGTTTTTAAAATCTACAGTCAAACCTGAATATTCTAAAAGCAGATCTTTGTAATTTATAAACCAAGAATTATTAAAGAAATACCCTGTCTTTAGCCTCATCTGAATTTAAAGAATTGAAAAATCCCTTAAGTTCATCCTCTTGTTGTGAAGTTAGCTCCACCCATTAATGTCAAATCAGTTCTGCCTATACATTCTTCAATTTTAAAACCTGGCATATCTTAAAATTAAAAGACTAAGAAAGCATTGTGAGTTCTGGGAGATGGAGTGGAACTCTTCACCAAATTTTCAAACTACAGTCAAACCTGATTGTCTCGAAAAATTTGGCAATCTTTGAACAAATCATTTCCAAAAAATTACAGACAAAAAAAACTTAGAATTTGAATGTGTGAGATTCTACAGTTGAGAAATGTTCTTCTTGCCAGCAAGGTTAGGGATGAATACCATTGTTTTACAATGAGAACTGCACTGCTGGTCTTACAAAGTGCAAAGTAATTTATGCCAGATTGTAACTAGAAGTAAAAAGGGTTTTTTTGCAAATGATACAATAAACACTTGAAATTCACAAATTCTTTTAGATTTTTGTGTTTTTCTTGTGGTTCTTGTTTTGTATTGAGTTTATGTTTAGGAGATTTGCCTTCATTTGAAGTGGTTTGTCTGGAAACTCCAACTGTACATAGGAAAAAACTTATAACTGGCTAGATTCTCATATATTTTTAAAATGAACATTTATTTTCCTTTGTTGATCAGAGACTGCAGTTATGTATCCATTTTTTATCTACTGAATCAAACTTGTATTTTTTTTATCACTGCATATCTCAAATATTATTGTTAAAGCACTATATAATACTATTATATACTATACTATTTATAGATACTATTTAAACATTGATTTTACAAGGAAGTTTTGTTTTCATGCATGGATAAAGCTCATTTTTACAAAATAGTGAAATAGCTAGATGTCAGACATATTGTATTTTTCATAAATAACATACAAAGAGATATTCTCCATATAGTATCAGTGGTACATATAAATAATTATATACCTGTGCATATTTCTTTTCTCAAGAGAACTCTTTTCTTGGGGGAGGTTCATAAAGCCTATGCGTTCAGATGGAGATAAATCATTCTAAAGGGGAGTCTTTTATATGATGATGATGATGATAATGATTTGATGCTCCATCAACTTAATCAAACCTTGTGCTGATAAGAACAGAGGGTACAAGGTGCAGCAAATGGATGGGAAAAAAGCATCATCTTCTAATGCAGAGAGATTAATGAGTTCTCATCTATATCCAGAAATTGATGTAGAAATAAAGTGCAGGGGGTTGTGATTTGTGTTTATTTCCTCCCTCTTGGAGGTATAAACAGACTGGGCAAGGTCACTAGTCTAATGAGTCCATTGGCCAGACAGTCTTGGTCTTTGACCTGGTATTCCAGGATACTGACTTACATGTAAGGTGAAGATACATAATCAATCAAATGTTTTATTTTTGTATGTGGATTAATTTAAGATAAATGTATGACCATCTGTTGCTGAGATTAGTTAGAAGAAATTTCCCGAAATATATTTTATCAAAATTGTTCTTGTTTGATTGTTTTTTTTTTTTGTTTTTTTTTTTTTTTTGGGGGGGGGGGGTTGCTTTCTTTCAAAATGATACACGTAGAGATATTTGTTTTGCAATTTGTTTTAAGAAAGATTTGAAAGAAAATTTGGTAATTCTTTTAAGGAATAAATTCATTAAAGTAATGGAAACATTTTTTTTTTCCAGTGTTCAGTGACGTGTGGTAGAGGACATCAGCAGAGGAGTATTAAATGTGTTAATGATTCTGGAGATGAGCAGGATCCTTCAAAGTGCAAAGCCAGTAAACCTCGCAGCATTAAACAGTGTCACATGGGTCGTTGTCCAAAATGGCACAGGGAGAAGTGGTCTCGTGTAAGTCTGCATGCTTGTCATGGACTTGACCTAAATTAAGCTTTCTTTTAAAATAAGAAGCTCAGTCAGAATAACTGTGAAGAATTTTTTTAATGTTTGTAATATTATTACAAGATTTAATATTACAAGTCATAATAGCGAAGCAGTGAGAATAATCAATTTTGTGAAAGTTTTAGCAAAGAAAACTCTTGTTACTAGAAAATTACAATTAATTTCAGTGCTCAGTTACATGTGGTAAAGGCCTGAAAACTCGAAAACTGACTTGTAAAACCCGATACTTACAAGTCGTGGATTCTGCCTACTGCAGCAGTACCCGGAAACCCAAAACGCAGAAAGTTTGTACAAGAAGGACATGTTCAGACTTTACATGGAGGAGGGCACCATGGAGCCAGGTAAAACTACTGCAGATTGGTCAGGAGTATCAGGAGTGAAACATTGAAATACATGTACTAATTATAATTTGTCCTTAGGTTCTGTTTGTTTGGTGGATCAGTGATTGCTTTTTGGAAAATTGGGTGTCCTTCCTTCCTAGTAGAATTAACACAAAAACATGTATGAAGATTTGGGCCCCAACATTTGAAGATGATAATCTTTTATTAAAGGAAAGTTTTGAACCAGCATGTCATATACATGTAGTGATGGTTTGTTACCAAGCCTGATGCTTTTGCATCATTTGTTCAGACAGAGAGACACCTGAATGGATGAACTATTAGAATCACATACAATATGCTGCCTAGTTGTACAATAAGATGGGTTAAGTATTAAACCTTTTCAACACTTTCTTTCATACCTGAAGATGGATATCATCATATATATCAGTCAAGAGTAGATGGTAGTTACATGATAACTAAATGCAGGTTTGCTAAAGTATGTGAAGTACAGCTATCCAGTGTTCATACCCAGTGTTCCCTGCTACTACAGCATCAGAAGGACATGTACAGTATTCCCTCTTAAGTTATGACTAATGTTCAAGTATTTGCTGGGATGTGGTTGTAAAAAAAAATTCTCAACCCTAGCTATGTAGATCAGTTATTGCACAAAAAATGATATAGATGTTGTTTTTAAGTAAGAGAAAGGTAAGACACTTGCCCAGACTCCCTAGTTAGCACTTTACCTGAGGATTGGCTGTCTGGTGTTGTAGTACACAAGTCCTTTAATAAAGCATAAACTTTAGGCATGCAGACAGTACATAATGTACAGTGGTTCTTGATGAAAACATTTGTATTCCAACTGTGATGGGAATGCAATGATTTGTTTTTGTGTAGTCATTCGCACTTAGTTCACACATGCAGTGCAAAGTTGATATAAAAAAAATTACAAGCTGTTGTTTTATGTTAATCTGTCAAAGTGCTTTTCCACTGGTACAAGCGAAGGTTTCAGGAAATCCAAAGATTGATATGATTTGTAGTTATGAACATATTTATTCTATAAATACCATTACAAAAGGTTCCTACACAACTTCTAACAACTTACGAGGCTTTCAACAATCCAAAGATTGTTAGTAACAGAGGCTCCTGTGTGAAAATGCTGCAGTATTGTGGGGATTATAAAATAAAACTTCTCTCATTTTTATGACAGATTAAATTTCTGCTTGTTGTTAATAAACTCCTGAACTTCTGGATGACTGAGAATTATTCTGTCAGCTTCAACCCTTTCATGTGGAAAAAAGAACGTCATTCCTTTTGGGTATAGCTAATATCAAAGAAGGGTAATATCCTGTGCAAGGAGATTGTAAAACTATTTTTTCACATTTATACAGGTGACAGATAGACTGTTAAATTTTAGATAGGAATTCTGCTGGCAAATTTTATTTATTGGTTTTATAAAATTCCTGATAAATTTTCTCTTGGTTTTCATCATAGAACTTACATGCGTAACTCTAGGAGAGATATGGTTTCATTAAAATTAAAAAAAAATGTGGTATTCCTTAAAATTATATTTTTAAAAAAGACCAAAAGATAATTAAAGCACTGACTAAGAGCAAAAATTTCAGTTGGATTGAAGTGATTGCATCATGTGGTTAAATCAATTAGTTTATATAGTACGTTTTACTGATTTGGTAGTGAAAATCTGGGTCATGAGAAGGCTTGTAATGTTTACACCGTCTGCGTATGCACTATAACGTGTGAGGTTTGAACTCAAAACACCCAGGCGGGAGTATTGGCGAATTCATGCAATCCTCATAGATTTAATTAAGAAGCTGGAATTCAGAATGACTTTTTTTGGGTACAGTCAAAGAACAGATCAAAAAAAAAAGATATATTAATTGCTCTAAATGCTTCTATAGAATATAGTGGTACAAATAGTGTTACATGTATCCCAATTAATTTCAACATAAATTGATAAGAAAGAATTCCAAAGAACATCAAATAATTAAAGGTTTCTTATAGTATGTAATAAATGTGTATACTACATGTAGTATTATTTTAGATTCATGACTATAAAATTTAAAAATCTTTGATCTTTTGTAGTGCTCCCAGACCTGTGGTTTTGGAACAAAAGACAGGGAGGTATACTGTGTTGACCGTCGTGGACAGCGGGTTGACGATTTACTTTGTGGACCGCAGCACAAGCCAAAATCACGCAGACGCTGTAACGAGTTCCCATGTCCCTATATCTGGAATACATCACCTTGGTCAAAGGTATGAAGCCTTACAGAATATTATGTGATAAAAAGGATAGTAGCTATAGGGAGAAGAACTGGTAGCTGTACAGTCCAATTTGTTAAAAATAGGAAATCTAGTAACTTTCTGAAAATTGAACAAGATTTGGAAATGTATGAAAAAAATATGAAGTCTTGGTTTGACTAAATACACACATAGAAATCTCAGGTCTTAAATAGGTAGGTTAATTTTAAATTTAAAAAAAAACTGTCATTTGAGTATAAATGATTTAAACATTGAGATACCCGAAAAAAGAGGCCCAAAGATAAAAGAATTGGTACATTTTAAAAAAAATCATAGAAGGTATTTTTATGCTCTAAGAAAGATAACTCTCAATTGTTTCTTTGATTCAGTGTAATGCCACCTGTGGTGAGGGAATGCAGACAAGAACTGCTCTCTGTCAGGCTGTGACTAAAGAGGGGTGGATCTTACCGGGGTCCGTGCCTTATGGCTGTCGACGAGAAGAGAAACCACCCACTGTGCAGACCTGTAACTTTGGAGACTGTGGCTCCCCCCATCACTGGGTCGTGGGGTCATGGGGAAAGGTATTAAAAATAGAAATAAATATTCTTACTTCAGATAGTTTTATATATATGTATTAAAAAATAGGCTCTGCATGGTAATTAGAACATGTGTATAATATCAATCAAAAATAAAGAAATATTTTAGGGTCTTGATTTGTTAACTACTAATTTTGTGATAAAACCATGTAAATGTAACATAAATATGAAATAGTGACAGTTTGATGAGGCACCTGTTGTATTTATGTTTTAGCACTAATAATCTTGCACTGTTCCACATTAAGTGGGGACAGGATGTAAGTTCATTGAGAGTAAGTACAGCTTAACATGCACTGCTATGTCCATCTGATATGCTTTGTCAGTCAGCTTGTTTCCCATGCATTACTTCAAGATAAATCTACATGAAATAATGAAGAAAAAAGATGTTGCAAGTTTTAAAAAATGTTTTATAAAACAGTGTTTTATCTAAATTATCATTTATTAGTATTATTAGTATTTTTTTCTTGTGAGAAATATTTTTTTTTTAAAGAAAAAGGAAGAATATTTTGCAAATTTTATGATTGAGAGACCTTGGGAAACAGGCTTTGAAGAACTGGGGACACATGAAAAGATTTCAAAGTCCAACTTTGCATTATCTCCCTTTGCACAGTAGCTTATTTTTTGGCGAATATTTTAAAGGAGTGGCTAGTTCAGCATCCAAAATACAAGGAGCGGCCTTTTCACTTACAGTTGCTAAGATATCATTAAAGACAAATATTTTAACAAGAGAATTGATAGTGTTGTTGAAGATGAATAGCTGGGGGGGTGGGGGGGGGGGGGGTGGGGAGGGAACAGAGACTGTTATGTTTACAGTGATTAATTGATTTAGATTTCTAAATTGTATTTCAATGTGAATCTTAACATTGGTTGAACAATCTGTTATTTTAAATAAACTTTACAGATTGAGAGAAAAAGAAAGTAAAAGCTTTAGAAATGATTCTTTAATTTAATATTTTAAATAAAATACATAGTTTTATTTTATTTATTTCAAGAATTTTATTTTTATAAAGAATGTTTTATGTTAATTGTAATTGATGATTTGTTTCCTTTACAACTGGTAATTTATTAATTTTCATTAAAGCTCTCCTGCACAATGAGTAAATGTTTTATGTTCATTATTACATGATACTTTATAATTGAAGATTTTTAATTCTCTCCTTTAAGTGCTCCTCCCGATGTGGTTGGGGGAAACAGCGACGACTTGTATTGTGTGTCGACGTTCTTGGAAGACGTCGGTCTCGTAAACAGTGCTCTCTAGACTTACGACCAATAGCGCAACAAAAGTGTTATAGCGGACCATGTAAGCTAATATTGTTTAAAATTTTAATTTGATTGGAAGATAATTTATTTTAATGACATTTTAAAGGAAACATTTAATTTTCTGACTGCTTAAAATATTAGAATTGACTTTTACAGGTTATGCAAGATCCTGTTTAGAGCTGAAGGAGAAAACAAAGATTCGTCATGATGACACGTACAGTATACTTGTCAAACGACGAATACTTCAGGTAAGCATGCTTCTATTAAATTGAAAGATATACAGTCAAACTCATTATCTTAAATATGATGGGACTATGGCTTACCCGAGGGCCTTGGCTAGAAAATACAGAAATCGGTTCAGTATTGAAAAGTTTAAATAAATAAGTGGGCCCACTTTGGGTCAGGTTAACTAAAAACTTGGATATCTAATGATTCAAGATTTTGAGGTTAAAAGACAAAAGGATAGAGTGGTTGAGACTTCCAGTTAACTTGAAATACCCAAAGAGACATCAAAGTCCAGATGACTAAGTTCAACTTTATATATAATGTATTTTTTGAATATAACTATCTACTAAAAAAGTTAATAACTTGATAGATATGGAAGCTTTTCCTGCACCTGGTCAACATTATAACAGTTTTTTGTTTTTGGGTTTACCAGATATACTGCAAGAATATGAGAAAACAACCATATGAATTCATCACTCTACCAGCTGGGAATAACTTTGCTGAAATCTATGGATTAAAGTAAGATATGGAAGCCAAGAGAAACATATCATCTCTTAAAATGTGTTGTCTTATAATTATTAAGCGTAATATGTAGATATTTTTAAAGCTCAAAACATTGCTGACCTAGTTAATGAATTCAAAAATGGTGAAATATTCAGGAAATCTGAAGAAGTGTCTAAATTTGGTATGCTGTATTTTATTTTAGACTACAACGACCAAATCATTGTCCGAATAATGGTACTCGATCTGACGAGTGTGAAGCATGCAGAGATAATCATTACAAAGAAGAGGGTAACACAACATACACCAAAATACGGATAGACCTCACATCACTAAAAATCATCAGTAAGTATGTAATACAAAACAAAATAAGGATGGACCTCAACTGCTGATCATCAGCGCTTGTACTTGATATCTTCTAATGTGCGAAGAAATACAGTCAAATCTTCTTATCTTCAATTCAGAACAAGCTTGAGGATTCAAGATACTGAGGCAAAAATGCAAGCCGAATAAGTAGTTGGGACTTCCAAGTTACTTTGACATATCTGTTATTATTTGAAATATCAAGATTTAAGATACCAAAAGTTCAACTGAAATTTACTGATAAATAGTTCTTTTTTTCAAGTTCTTTTTGTATATAAATCTGTGATTAATTTCTGTCATTCCACTACCTTTTATTATTTTCTCCACAGCCAATGACACTACCTTTTATTATTTTCTTCACAGCCAATGACACTACCTTTTATTATTTCCTCCACAGCCAATGACACTACCTTTTATTATTTTCTTCACAGCCAATGACACTACCTTTTATTGTTTTCTTCAGAACCAATAACACTGCCTTTTATTATTTTCTTCACAGCCAATGACACTACCTTTTATTTCCTCCACAGCCAATGACACTACCTTTTATTTCCTCCACAGCAAATGACACTACCTTTTATTATTTCTTCCACAGCCAATGACACTGCCTTTTTATTATTTTCTTCACAGCCAATGACACTACCTTTTATATCCTCCACAGCCAGTGACACTACCTTTTATTATTTCCTTCCAGCCAATGACACTACCTTTTATTTCCTCCACAGCCAATGACACTACCTTTTTATTTCCTCCACAGCCAGTGACACTACCTTTTATTTCCTTCACAACCAATGACACTACCTTTTATTATTTCCTCCACAGCCAATGACACTACCTTTTATTATTTCCCCCACAGCCAATGACACTACCTTTTATTATTTTCTTCACAGCCAATGACACTACTTTTTTTTATTTCCTCCACAGCCAATGACACTACCTTTTATTATTTCCTCCACAGCCAATGACACTACCTTTTATTATTTTCTTCTCAGCCAATGACACTACCTTTTATTTCCTCCACAGCCAATGACACCACCTTTTATTATTTCCTCCACAGCCAATGACACTACCTTTTATTATTTTCTCCACAGCCAATGACACTACCTTTTATTATTTTCTTCACAGCCAATGACACTACCTTTTATTGTATTCTTCAGAACCAATAACACTGCCTTTTATTATTTTCTTCACAGCCAATGACACTACCTTTTATTTCCTCCACAGCCAATGACACTACCTTTTATTTCCTCCACAGCCAGTGACACTACCTTTTATTATTTCCTTCCAGCCAATGACACTACCTTTTATTTCCTCCACAGCCAATGACACTACCTTTTTATTTCCTCCACAGCCAGTGACACTACCTTTTATTTCCTCCACAGCCAATGACACTACCTTTTATTATTTCCTCCACAGCCAATGACACTACCTTTTATTATTTTCTTCTCAGCCAATGACACTACCTTTTATTTCCTCCACAGCCAATGACACCACCTTTTATTATTTCCTCCACAGCCAATGACACTACCTTTTATTATTTTCTTCAGAACCAATAACACTGCCTTTTATTATTTTCTTCACAGCCAATGACACTACCTTTTATTGTTTTCTTCAGAACCAATAACACTGCCTTTTATTATTTTCTTCACAGCCAATGACACTACCTTTTATTTCCTCCACAGCCAATGACACTACCTTTTATTTCCTCCACAGCCAATGACACTACCTTTTATTATTTCTTCCACAGCCAATGACACTGCCTTTTATTATTTTCTTCACAGCCAATGACACTACCTTTTATTTCCTCCACAGCCAGTGACACTACCTTTTATTATTTCCTTCCAGCCAATGACACTACCTTTTATTTCCTCCACAGCCAATGACACTACCTTTTTATTTCCTCCACAGCCAGTGACACTACCTTTTATTTCCTTCACAGCCAATGACACTACCTTTTATTATTTCCTCCACAGCCAATGACACTACCTTTTATTATTTCCCCCACAGCCAATGACACTACCTTTTATTATTTTCTTCACAGCCAATGACACTACTTTTTTTTATTTCCTCCACAGCCAATGACACTACCTTTTATTATTTCCTCCACAGCCAATGACACTACCTTTTATTATTTTCTTCTCAGCCAATGACACTACCTTTTATTTCCTCCACAGCCAATGACACCACCTTTTATTTTTTCCTCCACAGCCAATGACACTACCTTTTATTATTTTCTTCAGAACCAATAACACTACCTTTTATTATTTTCTTCACAGCCAATGACACTACCTTTTATTTTCCTCACAGCCAATGACACTACCTTTTATTATTTTCTTCACAGCCAATGACACTACCTTTACCACAGGCAGCTATGGAAAGAGCATTCCATTTGCAACAGCAGGGGACTGTTACAGTTCACAGGGAGATTGTCCACAGGTATGTAACAGCCCTTCTAATTAGCCGATTCACAGGGTGATTGCCCACAGTTATGTAACAGCCTTTCTTATTGGCTGATTGCACATAAGTGTTCCCAGCTGTTCACAATGGGTAATTGCCCATAGGTATGCTAGGTTATTTTAATCAACTGTTTGCCCACAGATATACAGACATTCTAAGTGCCTGATTGCTTATATACAATTGATTAAGTTACTTTTCTGCTGCAACATCTTTGGCAGTTTTAGCTAACTTGGAAATTTAAGATGTTTCTTTGATATGTTAATATTTTTATAATAATTTTCTTTTTTTTAAGGGTCGGTTCAGTATCAACTTGGCAGGGACTGGATTTATTGTATCTAAGAATACCAGCTGGACTTTAAGTGGTCTCAGTGCCTCCAAAAAGATTCAAATCTTGAATGTATGTTCTTAAATCCCCCCTTTCCCCCTTCAGTTTTTTTTTTCTTTGCAAAACTATTAAGTAGAAGATTAATAACTATCAAAGTTATCAGAAGAATATATTTTTAAAACGTTATATGTAGGGAATAACAGTTTGTGCAAGTTTTATAAGAGGATCAAGTTAGCTCCCTTTGTATGGTATCTTTTATTGTATGATATATATGTACACATTAACAGGATGGTGAGGTTGTACAGGGTCAGTGTGGGGGCTACTGTGGAAAGTGTCTTCCTGACCCAGCTACTGGACTCCAACTGGACACCAGGCACTGACCAATGCCAACTTTAGGTAAGTACTGATCAATGACTATCTCCTATAAGATTTTTCTTCTTACTGATCTTTGACATCCTTTGTAAGATTTCTTCTTACTGATCTTTGACATCCTTTGTAAGATTTCAAGTCAATTTGCCTTAGATTAAAGATTGATCTGCATTCAGTATTAAACAGCTTTTGGGTGGATGTTTATATATGAAATATGATCTAGCCTACAAGTGCCACCGTTTTCATTAAATATCAATTTTTTTGAAATGTTAAACTATTTATACTGCAACCATGAAATTTTGAAATTACAATATACCTTATCATTTTTAGGTACTTGGTATATTAAATGAAAAAAAAATCTTGCCGAGTTCTTGCACCTGACTCACAATTCCGTCCTTGGATACTTACAAATGTCTCGACAAGTCTCAGTTGTATTCAGGTTGTCAAGGACATCCCCAAGGGAACACAGGGTGAGATGCAGTGAGGTCAAAGGTCGAAGGTCGAGAAACAGAGGTGTTATAAACCTTATCACTGTAGTCATCCCCTCTTCTCCAGAGTGTCAGTTTGACAGAGGACCTCAAAGCTGCACTACAGGCATTTCTGATCTCCAGGTGAACTGATATTTAACTTTTTTGAGAAACCCATATTCTTACCATGCATAATTCATAACTGCATTATGTATATCATGCACGTAACTCACAAACTTCATACATCTTGTCTTCTCAGAAAATGCTCTGTTGAGTTCCATACACTGCTAATTTTTTTTGTTTAGAATTGTATGACAGTATGTTTGCATTGGTTTATAGTTCCAAATCTGTTGATTCATTGATGGAACTCTCTTCAAATAAATTTTGGAAAGAAACACTTGCGACAAAAATATAGCTACAACAAGAAAATTAAATAGCCACAAGTCTTGTATTTAGATTAATTTACAGGGTAATGTCTTGATGTTTCACACATTTAGTTTTTGTGTTTCTGACAAGTCATAACTGTATCTTTTTAATGAGAAAAAAATGCATATGTTTGAAGATCAGTTGTAAATGTGAGTATGACATCTATTTAAAAGGCCAGTTTTCTTGTTTTAGAAGAGATTGTTATATGTCTGTTCATCATATCGTGTATATCCTGAACTAAAGAACAGCTACACATCCTATATATATATATATATTAAAGTGAAGTGTACATGCAAGTGCAATATTTATGACTAAGTAGTGTTGAATTTTGTTGCCTGTTTAAATGTATATGGGTGAATTCAAAAAAAATGACCAAACACATATTTATCAACCCACACTAAAAATACAGGCAATGAAAATAGATTTCTATGTCTCAGCATATGTCTTCAGATAGTGTCTAAATACCTGCCAAATATCTTGTTGATATCTCAATTAACAAAAAAGTTATGCCCAAAAATGATGCTAAAATTGTCAGGAGTGCAACACCTTTTTGTGACATTTTGAAATTTCAACATTTTTTAGAGATCTGTGAAATAAAAAATAACGCTTCATGTTGAAAATAAAGACTTTCCTGATAATATTCAAAGCATTGAGCTTTAAATGTGGACTGCCATAACTTCTGTTTAATCAAGTTGTGGTCATGGCTGATGTTTAAAGAAATGTTATACCATGTCAGGAGTGCAACAGAAAAAATGTAGTGTTGCCAAAAAAAACATCAATTGTAAAATTCTGAAAGAAAATTAAGACAAAAAAGAATTTAGAAGTGTAAAACAATAACTGATATACATTTTAAAACTTAAAAATGTTATATAAATCACAAGCAGCATTAATGAGAGTCAAGTATATGTGCATACCCAAAAATGCCAGGAGTGCAACATTTGATGTTTTGCTCCCAAGCATGAAAAAATTATTATCATTATATGATTTTCTGATTTTTATTTTGGAAAATAAAGACACAAAGAACATTTCTACCAAATAGATTTATCAATTACAGAATCTGTCTGTGCTTCAGATCCATATTTCTATGGTCAGGAGTGCAACACATTTTTTTAAAGATTCAATTTGTGTGTCGAAAACACTTCTTTTCATGCTTAGAAATATTCATTAATTAATAATGATCTTTTTGTATAATTTAATACTAAATTATTGACAGTTTTTTTTTTATTAAAATCCTTCCTTTTTCAATTTTATCAATTCAGATGTGTTTTTATCTTTTTGTGATTTTTTTAATGAATGTTAAAAATAAACACACTAAAACATTGTCATAAAATTCAAGTAATTCCTCCTCAACTTCACTGAAACAACAGAACAAGTTCTTATGTAATTTTCACTTCACAATTCTACTTTAAAGGCCCCAATGCTTTTGGTCAGGAGTGCAACAAATATGTTAGAATTATAATTCATCCAATAAGAATAAAAATAAAGAAAAAATGATGAGTAGAATTTTTCTGGTGGGTTACTGTGTTTGTCCTCTAAAGGAAAATATGCTTTAAAATATATTTTATTTTCTAAATATACGTTTAAGCTAGTTTTTTGGCATAAAATAGGGTATAATTCCAGATAAAATGCGAATTTTAAATTCTTTCATCTGTTTTAATTATGAAGTATTAGACTATAAGTATTGCACAATTTCATTACCATTTGATGTTGCCAACACTTTATGAATTTTTGTGTTCTGTGGTTTTAATTTTAAACTTTACTGCAGTGAGGAGTGCAACAAAACTGCTTTATAATTACCGATGCTTTTTAACTATCTTTACTGAAAAATAAGTTGAAAAAAAAATGCTTGATACTATTTGATGTTCAAAACACTATGTCTATCAACAAATTACATAAATTTTATGGTCAATTCAGGGAACAGTTTTCATCATTTCACATATATTTTAAATACAATTTATATATATTACACTTTGCAAATAATCATGTTTTAAGGTCTTCAAAATATGAAAAACCTGCTCTAAACGATGAAAAATACCAACACGACAAATTGATTTACAAAGTAAGAATGGGTTATTGTGTGTTATAATTTTTAAAACAATGTTAAATAAAATACATATCAGATGTCAGGAGTGCAACACAATAATGTAACATAGGTTCACTTCAAAATCTAGTATTTTTTGTAAGAGAACTCGTATATAACAATTCTTTTTTGGCTTAGATTTAAAGAATTGACTTGAACGGACAAAAAAGTGAAATTTGGGGAATTTTATTGCTTCATATTTTTTTCATATTAAAACTTTTCAAACCAGAATTGAAAAAATAATGTAAAATTACAATCAAAAAGCCAATTTTTTGTCACATGTACAAGAGAAGATACTCATTCAAGGTCTAGGTTTAATCATTTATACCCCTTTTACCATTTTGAAGCATAAAAAACTATAATTTCTTGTTATTATGTATTTTAGAAAGTCTTTTAAGGTGTAATGATATTTTCTTTTTTCAAAAGAAATTTTACTAATAAAAATTCTGAAACTTTTTAATCCAATTGTCTATTCTATTGCCACTTCAGGATTTTAAACTAGAATGCATTTGCATTATGATGATATAAGTGAAAAATATGTTATATGTAGTTGAATTTTGCCAAAAAAATTCAGTTTGGTGGTCATTTTTTTTGAATTCACCCATATAGTGCTGAACACATGTTCAAAGTCTTACTTTTTGAATTTACATGTATATTTGAAGATGGTTAATGAAATGACACAATTTGTTGACATTTTTAAAGGAATAGAAATAGAAAATTAACTTCATGTTAATTCCATCTTCCCTAATTTTTTTTTTTTTTTTTTTTTTTTGTTCTTTTTTCCCCACATGCAAAATTGTGAACAATGAATGAAGAGATTTGATTAGATATACAAATCTTCATAAATTTCTTATTTCTACAGGGAAATTATTTTGAATTAAGGACATACGCAACGTACCTTACCTACTGATAATTTTTCAAGATATTCTTAATTTAAGATTATAGTGCCATCAAATGTTCGTAGACAAAAAATCGGCATGCATTACCAGGGGTTTTGAAAAGATATCAATTGTTGAAATTTTTTGTATAATTTAAAGAAAAATATACAAAAATTACTAAACATATATTGTAGATGTTTTGTTTATCAAAACTTGTTTTAGAAGAAGTGTACAACAGCATATATAGACAATAAAATGTATCACACAGTTCCTTTAAGTATTGGAACTCTTCAGCTCCAGGGAAAAAGACAATAAAGTTCAAACTACGTTGCGTATGTCCTTAATATAAATACAATGTGACTGGTTTTAAATATATTTAATATTCTGTCATTGCTAGAATACAGGTATGTTTTGTGGGGAAGTATTATTTTGAAAATAAATGCTGCCCAAATGTTAGACAAATGTTAATAGTTAATATAGTCTAAAAATAATCTTCAGTTCATCTGAAGATAAATACTTGTATAGTTAATCTCAAATCCTGTGGATAATCAAAATAACTTATTATTAAACATGTATGCATTTTCACTGCCAGTTATTCTAACCTGTCTTGTATTCAATCCATATGATATTTGTGTACCCCCATGCTGAGAATTTGAGAGTTGAGGAATATCAGTTTATATGGACAGTTTTGGCATTTTTAGAGTGGATTTACTTCTTTCAAACAGTTTAAGTTTAAAATTGTATACATATTGTTTTTGCCAAATTTTATTCACTCAAAATATGTATAAAGAAGTGATAAACTGACAATCCCTTAAGCATTTTAAATATGTAAGTTTGTGTTAAATTGTATTGGGTTTAATGTTTTTATATGTTGGGGATTTTTTTTTTTTTTTTTTTTTGGTAATACTGTATGTGTACTTAAAAAAGCGGGCTTCATATTTTAGCGGCTTTGATGCAGACAATGATGTGCTAATGCATGAATACCGCTAAGAAATAATTTATAAATACAATATACAGCACGGACATGTATAGCGCTAATTCATGATTTCGCTAACAACTCCATACCCAGTGATTGCACTAAATTTTGAATACGCCAATTTATGTACACGTTCAGTATGTAATTTTGATAAATTAGAAAGGGTCATAATCATATACAAATGTAGTAATTTATTCACCTTAATGTATGTTATACCGGTTTAATTTTTTTTAGGTGTCTTTTGTTGTAGATCTGTAGCATCATAATGATATATTAGTAAAAAGCTTTAATACATTTAGCATTTTCCCTGGGTATTTATTATATTTATATGAGCTATGTACGCACAAGTTGAAGCAAACATTAGCTATACCTTTATTTATTTTGTGTATATGTTAACTTAATAGTGTTGTATTTATGATGTAATTATTAATGAAGACTATATATATACACACATTGGATTGGTCATGTTAGTGATCATGAACTTTGTTACATTTGTTCTTTTATAAGTCCATCGAAGCAAATACATTTAAAAACATTATGATGGTATATTGTATGTATATGTTGAATTACACCATTTTTAAATAACTTTGATCATGTTGTTTTGAAAAATTTATTCTATCAATTCTTGACTTTTCTTCTTTTGATCTGGATAAAACAAACATACTTTAGTAAGAAAAAATATATATAGATGGCCCAGTTTTTCTTATTAAATGGTACTGTGAATTTTGTTCTACACCATCTTGATAATTTTAACCCCTATAGGGTTTTCTTTAACATGTTATTGTGTCTTTTAAAGTGTTTACAATTGTATTTTGAATTTATAATGTCAGGTAACTCTGTGGAATCAAATTCTACACATGCTGCTATTTTTGTTGTTTCATAATTGTATAGAAGTTCACGTAGCCAAAGGTTGAAAGAAAAACTCCCCAAAAAAGGGCTATGTAAATATGGTAGCATTTTTATATCCTTTGTAAATTTGTACATACAACTTATTTATATAAATTTATACAACTGTATATAGCCTCTTCACCAGAGTTGAGTGCCTGGTAATTACATTTGAGGAATTCATTGAAATGCCTTGTTGAAATCATGAGAACAATAGATTTAGAACAATGCCCTTTGAGATATTTAGCTCTTTTTTTACTTGAAGGAAATATTTGATAGTCATATTTTTCTAGGTTACCTTTTTTTTAAAGATTTTTTTTTTATCTACAAAAGGTTTACTGTACTAAGGTAATTCATTTTTTTTTTAAAGGATATATTTTTCATTCTGAAAATGTTTACTATATTAAAAGATGGTTACTGGTATACTGAAGGGTTGAAAGTTTGACAATTTCTGTATTTTAGAAATATGGTGAGTGGAAACTTTGAGGGTTTACTAGTTTTTAATAGTGCTCTTAAAAAAAGAACGAGAAAATTGACAAGTGGAAACCTTGACCATTATTAATCATACATGTAAGTTTTCACATCAGTAAAGTTATCCACATTTATAGTAATCTAACACTAAACAAATATCTTTTAAAATCTTATAAATGATAATAAAGAAAAGATCATATGTATTAGATGTATATTATAGAATGGATTATTTAAGATTTTAATGTGTACTAATAAATATGGGGAATATACTTGTAAATTACCTTGCATTATTCCAAATAATTACATTACATAATATATACCATAAAACAGAATTAAGAAATTTATTTTTTGATTAATCAGCCAGAAAACTGCCATTTCATCCTCAAGGATTTGTATTTAGGGTTTAAGATGTCACAAAAAGGTGACAGTTGCAGCGAGATGAACATGATCTCAATAATTTACTTTGAATATCACGTGCTGCTGTTATTTTGATATTAGTATGGAAGGCCATCATGTTTTCAAAGCTATATTTTATTGATTTTAAAGATTTTTTAGACAGTAAATAATTATTATGTCCAACTACAAAACCAGAAGAGCGTTTTCTGTTAATAATAGTAAAAAAGTATTTTTAACTTGACACAAAAAATATTTAATTTTTTAATTTTTTTTTTTCGGTCATTGATTGAATGGTTGTAAAGGACTGTTTATATCTTCACTTTTGAATGTGATCATGTGACCACAGAATCTAGATTACTTAAGCTTAAGTATAAAATACTTCAAAGTTCTTGCACTTGACAACAGCTAAATGTTGTATTCTTGTTTACTTTTTTTCTGTAATTTATTGTTGTACAATTGAGTTTGGTAATGTGTCAGATGATCTAAATTTGGATTAATGTGAAGAATGACTGAAACACAAGAGATGCATTATTTTTCAAAATATTTAGGAATTTGTATGGCTGAGTATGCTTGATTACGAGTAAATGTGTGTTATAAAATGTTTTGTGAATTTATTAATATTGTTTTTTGAATTCTGAATATTAAAAAAAAATAAATTGTCACATTACACTATTTTATTTTCTTTTAAGGCCACCTGAGTCACTCAGGTGACCTATTGCTATCTGTTTTCGTCCGTCGTCGTCCGTCGTGCGTTAACTTTTGAACATTTTTAACTTCTTCTCTAGAACCGCTCAACCAATTTCAACCAAATTTGGTATATAGAATCTATGGGTGAAGGGGAACAAAAATTGTGAATTTCATGGTCCCTGCCCCCCCCCCCCCCCGGGGGGGGGCCTGAGGGGTGGGGCTAAAACCACCAAAAATAATGCAATCTTTAAAAATCTTCTTCTTTACTCCTGAACATCAAGCAGTCAAACTGTTGGCATCATTGTAATAAGCATTGAGCCCTCAACCAAAATTGTGAAATTCATGGCCCCAGGGTCAGGGGTTCTGGCCCCAGGGTGGGGCTATATAGATCATATAGTGAAAGTTCATTATTTCTTTGAAAATCTTCTTCTCTGCTCCTGGGTATTAAATAAAGTTACTAAGTACATAGTTATGATGAGCAAGAGTGCCTCTTCCAAAATTGTGAAATTCATGGCCCCAGGATCAGGGGTTCTGGTGTTAGGGTGGGGCTCTATTGATTATATAGTGAAAATGCATTAATTCTTTGAAAATTTTGTTCTCTGCTCCTGGGTATTAAATAAAAGAACTAAGTACCTAGTTATGATGAACAAGAGTGCCTCTTCCAAAATTGTGAAATTCATGGCCCCAGGGTCAGGGGTTCTGGTGTTAGGGCGGGGCTGTATAGATTATATAGTGAAAAAGCATTAATTCTTTGAAAATCTTCTTCTTTGCTCCTGGGTATTAAATAAAGTAACTAAGTACATAGTTATGATGAACAAAAGTGCCTTTTCCAAAATTGTGAATTTCATGGCCCCAGGGGCAGGGGTTCTGGTGTTAGGGCGGGGCTCTATTGATTACATAGTGAAAATGCATTAATTCTTTGAAAATCTTCTTCTCTGCTTCTGGATATTTAATAAAGTAACTAAGTACATAGTTATGATGAGCAAGAGTACCTTTTCCAAAATTGTGAATTTCATGGCCCCAGGGTCAGGGGTTCTGGTGTTAGGGCGGGGCTCTATCAACTATATAGTGAAAATGCATTAATTCTTTGAAAATCTTCTCCTCTGCTCCTGGGCATTAAGGTGATAAACTAAGTACATAGTTATGATGAGGAGGTAGGCCTCCTCCAGAATTGTGAAAGCCATGGCCCCTGGGTCAGGGGTTCTGGTGTTAGGGCGGGGCTCTATTAATTATATAGTGAAAATGCTTTAATTCTTTGAAAATCTTCTTCTCTGCTACTGGAAACTATTTAAACAAACTAAGTGCATGGTTATGATGCATAAGGATGCCTTTTCAAAAATCGTGAATTTCATGGCCCCAGGGTCAGGGTTTCTGGTGTTAGGGTGGGACTCTATTGATTATATAGTGAAAATGCATTGATTCTTTGAAAATCTTCTTCTCTGCTACTGGAGATTATTTAAACAAACTAAGTGCATGATTATGATAGACAAGGATGCCTCTTTCAAAATTTTTAGATATATGGCCTCAGTTTTTGGGGTTCTTAAGGATGGGGGGGGGGGGGGGGCTCTATTGATTATATAGTGAAAAAGCATTAATTCTATTAATTAATCATTAACTAATCCTGTCTGCTCCTTAGTGTTGAGCTGATAAATAAATTGCTTAGCTATGATAAAAATGGGAGCTTTGAACAGA